AAACATACTGCGCAAATCAATTGAGACTTGGCATTTTGCCTTCAAAAATCCCATGTAGGGTTTAAGAATTCAAACATCTTTCAGCCGCTTCAAGTCCCCAAACGCAACACGCAGCCACATATTAATTCTCAAAATGATTAAACACAGGAATAATCACTCTTGACAATAAAAAAACTGCCTCATAATCCTTTTTTTATTGCATTTCTCAGTACCTGATTAGCCAGTGTCATGCTGCGTGGAAAGTACATGACATATTTTCTTATAATAGCTCTGACGGGGACCAAGCTATAAGCATCACACACATACCTCTTCATCAGCAGGTAGATAAGGTTAATTCACTTTCTGATGGGTTGGGAGACTGATGAAGCATTTGATGTTAAAGGGTAATTGACTGTAGCTGAGTAGTGTTGTGCATGAGAGGGCAGTGTGTGTCTGTGTGTGTTGTGGACAGAGTATCACTCTCAAAAGCAAAGATGTGTACCTTCAGACATCAACATCAACAAACATCATTAAACTATTCCCTCTGTGCAATACTACATATTAATAAACTGACTAACCTGATGTTCATAGTGGAGATGCGTGGGGTCACTTTCTATACTGCATATAGCCATGTTATTTTAACTCACTTTTACGAGTCTCTCCATGTGGTCACAGGTGGTACTATCCCTCCCCCCTGTTGCAAAACTGAGCCAAGAGGTAGCCAAGGCCGTTACATGTAATCGAGAGTTCCCTCTGACCGCAACCCGAGTCTCTTTGTGTGTCATTTTTCTGTTGTTACTGTGGCATTAAGAAGACAGATTTACATTACTCCTCAGGAAAACAGGGACACCAGGAGAGGGGTTGTCATGGAAACGGACCCCTACAAGGCTGTCAGAATTGTTTAATTATTCAGGACCACCATCACTGAGCATCAGCGGGAAATCAACTGGAGCCGCTGAACCGACTGAATGGTGAGATTAAAAAATTATAAGATGTAGCGAGTTGGGGAATCCAGATAAAACTTAGCTTGAATACACTGAACTGTCAGGCTATAAAGCTCCAGGGTGGACTCAGCTAATGAGTGTTTGCTGCTCTGCACTCACTCTTCATTTCCATCCAAACAAGCACATGCTCACAACAGTTATACAGTCATTTAAGGCAGGCAGAAAGCTTTTCTTACTGTGCCAGTGTTCAGGTCCTTTTATATTAGTATAACTAAAATATTGCAACGCAAAGAGATGTTATAGGCTACATGTGGGGAAGATGTGCCCTGACTGAACAGACACAGGCTGTAATAACAAAAAAAAAGTAAGTTAACTGCATCTATTTGATTAAACTTATAGAAATGTACAATTAAAAATACATCACAATTTAACAATCACCACAAACAGCTAGAAACCACATCCAATCTTCAAAGTAAGCAGGCCAAACAATGTAATGAGTTTTTTTTCCCCCAACACAAAATAGCCTACAGTAAATCAAAGACGACATTAACTGTTGGTAGCGTTGTTTCTTGTCCAACATACATAAGGTAGTAACCAGTCATAGCAGATAAAAACAATAGGCAATGCTATGGCTTGGTACAAAGGTATTAAGAGCCATCTCAGCCTTTGTTTCTAAGGGCATTTACTCTTCAGAGCGGGTAAGCTCCAAATGTTATTATCAATAAATCAATAAACAAGTTAAATGGCTATTAGGGAAGATTTCTATGAATACTAATTGCGAGCTAAAGAACACATCGTTTAGTTTTCATTGTGAATGCCCTCCATATGAAGTTCCTCCCAAGGCAGAGTGCAGTTTTAGGTCTGATCATTTCTCTGCTTAGTTTTTCAGACACCAAATATACATCTTACCCATGTGTTACAGAGTTTACTTAACACTGTCAAAGTGAAAACTGAAAACCCGTAATTATCCAGCTTCTCTGTCCTCATGCATGCTCTCTTGCCTCTGAAGGGCAGATTTGTCTCCATTAGCCCCCCTTTTTCTGCAATTTATTTTCTTTCAACTCATTTAACCTTTAGAAGAAGAGTAAGAGCTGGGGGAAAGAAAATCAAGGAATGGTTGCCAGGCAGTGTTAAATACTAAAAACACAAAAAATGAAAATATAGTCACTGATAATGTCACAGTGTAGCGTGCGTGTTGCTATGGCTATATACCATACCGCCCACACTCCAGCACACACTCAGGAGCCTCTACAGTGTCATATTTTTAGCGGTGGCATTTCTCTAATTGTATTTGCACAGTTCAAAAGCCTGAGTGTCACATCATTAAAACTCATCTGTAAAGAACACTCTGTACAGCGATGCATTATGATATCATTGCGATAACAGAGGCTTCTACAGTAACGGACAATTAGTGACTGAAATGAGTAATCTGTTGTTTTTTTTTTCTTTTGTTATGGCAGATGCCTGGGTGTCACAGAGAGAGAGAGAGATGCTGTCCTCATGTGCATCGTTTTGACTGCAAACTGTGTCACCCCAATCTGTCCTCTCTCATTTATAGTAGTAGAGTACTGTAGAGACTGTGGAGTGTGTGGGAGCACACAGTCTTTGTGGTCAGACCATTTTATGGACCAGTTAATTTACTTTCTGATCCATATGGTTGGATGTGGCCCGTTTGAACTGTATTTCTTTTGGCACCGACAATTTTAATTTTATGTCAAGGATCTTCACACACTAACACAACACAAGTTGGTCCAGCTTGATGAGGTAGGTCCCCTTATGAACCTATAAACCCATATTTACCTGCTGACCTTGTTCATTTGTAGAGTTAGACTTCTGACTTTAGAAAATGTTACTTCTTGTGGATTATGAAATTCTTATTTTCTTACTGTAGCTTGTTCTTCAGTTTTAATTTATAGTGGTGAGAGTAAATTTGAGCTCTGCCATGTCTCAGTACAACTGAGTTCCATGTGTTTGTATCAGGTTTGAATGTCCATCTTAAAAGGCACATCAAAAAACATACAATATTCCTCTGTTCACTTCCCTTAGTGTTCTAAACCAGTGTTGTGAAATAAGAGCTACAGTTTGAAGATGATTAAAAGCTTCCTCAGCTGGAGAGCAGACAGTTATATTACTTCTCCAGAAACTACACTAAGCTAATATTGAGTCTTACACTTTTTTCTCAAGCACTGGGATACATTTTAGTGGCATGGCTTCATCTTAGAATCTAAAGTGTGAAATGCAGGTTTTGTGCTAAGATGCATTTCAAAGTAGCAGGTAGAAATTCATCAAATACTAGGCTGCCCCCAAGTGGTTGACGTGTATAATTTAAGCAAGATACGCTGAGTAAAAAGACGCATTAGCAGATTTCAGACGAGAGGCCACTCTCTTCCAGCTGCAGCAGTGAGTCAATTATAAAATAAGATTTAATCACAAAGCAAACACAGTTTATTCAATTGGCAATTTCATATCAAATGCTGAGTTTCATGTTTATAGAATCAGCCTTTTTTTCAATTGACAAAAACAAACAGTATATAAACACTAACGACAACATTTTTGACATTTCCATTACAGGTACTGTTTGAGTTATTACATAAAAGACTTTATTTACAAAGCTCACTCCAATTTAGAAAAATGACAAACTCTGGTTGTGCATCTTGGAAGCGTCTTTTTTTTTTTTTGCTCTTTTTAACAGTAGAGTGGTTAAAAGGCATCAGGGTTATTGTCCTCCAGAGGATCTTTCTCCTATCTCACACGGTCACTCATATATTCACACTCACACACAGTCGCAAAAAGGTACTTATTACCGCACAGTGGGGGAGCCCTGCTCACAACCAAACACCCTTTAAAAGATAACGTAGTGTAAGTCTCCACATAGAGCCTTACAAACTACAGCTGGTATATAATCCTTGTGAAAAATGCTGCTCACTACTGTGCAGTCAGCGTGTCAGCTCTAAATAGACAGCCTGCACAACAGCTACACACGTTTTGGCAATAATGCACATGAAAAGATCATGAATGAGGCAGATAAAAGGTAAAAACATTCAGTTCTGTTTTTGAAAACAAAAGATATATATACATATATGCATTTTACTGCTGCACATGTGGCTAGCACTTGAGACATCATCACTGGAAAGAGACATAAATATGAGATATAAAAAAAGGTCCAGTAAGCCCAGGGAGGAATCCTTAAAAAGGTGCTTAAAGTCTGTAGTCGAACAGCTGCACAATTAACACAGGAGGTTTTCCAGTCAAAGATTCAGTTATTGCAGAACATCATCTAAATATCTTTCAAATGTATGTGAGCTTTGGTGAAGGTTAATAGTCTATATAATTGTAACTGTTCTATAAAACAGATTTTTTTTTTTTTTTTTACAAAAGCAAAATTTTAGATTTTACTAGTTACTATTATTTGTGAGTCTAACCATTGAAAAGTCATGATGAATATGGCTTTTTATGACTGTTTAAACACATCTTTGTACCAATGAATCTCACTAGCAAACACTGATAACCCACTGGCTCTGTCTTTACACTATGATGTTCATTTATGGCATTACATTACCGTTTAATTATCAGATACCATGGCCTTTATTTTCCTTATTTCCCTTTGACTTGAGCAGAACTAATCAATTTTATTTCAGGTTCAAACATGGTCTCATGTCAGGGACAATGCCATTCATTCTCTTCATTTCCTCAAGGCCTTTGTGTATCTAATGCATTGTGCTCTGTAATCACACTCAATCCATTTCATTCTGTTTTGATTTGCTACATAATAAATAATAAGACTAGAAGGAAGAAGCTAACGGATGCTTTGGGTTTGTTTTTTTCTGTTGTCAAAGATGAACAACTGAGTTTTTTTGTAAAGCTCCATTAGATCACTTTGGCGGAAAAAGGCAAGTCGTGTCTGTAAAAGAAAAGTGCATTGACTCAACAGCCCCGACACACACACACACACACACACACACACACACACACACACACACACACACACACACACACACACACACACACACACACACACACACACACACACACACACACACACACACACACACACACACACACACACACACACACACACACACACACACACACACACACACACACACACACACACACACACACACACACACACACACACACACACACAAATATACCTTCTCTCCACGTGAAATTGGTAAACATCTTTGCCATTGTTAATAAATTAAAAGGTTCAGCAGTTCACATTCATCAGCTGGTTGTGTGTTTGTGTATCTGTGTGCAAGAGTGTTTGGGTAGTTAAGTTGTATAGTTCACATTGGTCATTGTAGTCCTGTGGCTTTTTGGAGTAGCTCCAGATCTTTTCGCTTTTGAGCTGCAGGTGGCGTACAGCCGTAAGCCTCCAAACCCAGGGGCATGTACCGCTCCTGCAGCCCAAGGACCTCATCCCCCTGCCCGGCTTGTAGCGAGACCCACGGAGGGACCGAAGAACCACCTTGGAACCCCCAAAGTGCCAGACTCTCTGTGACGAGAGGTTGCAATAAGAGTGTGTGAGATGACAAGACAGACAACAAATAGAGAAAAAGAAGATATTCAGTGAGTATTATTCACTAACCTTTACTGTGCAGATCAGCAGCTTTGGCCAAACCAAAGGAGACAAGATATGGCGCGACACCAACAAGGCCTTCCAGTTGACCTCGTGTTGCCATCAGCACTATGGACCTTAAAGCAGAAACAACAGGCTTAGAAAATGAACAAGGAGGATAATTCTTCTATACAGGGTTGTTGTGTATTCATACTATATTTAGACAACAAAGTTTGATACCACTGTGTCTCCATGTCAGAAATGTACATGCTGTTCAGGATTTCTAATGTTGCCCTGGCTCACCTCTTTGCTATTCCAGTTTTTAGGTACTGTTCCATCTTAGTGTCCATCTTTGAAAATGAGGTTTTCTTGGTGACTTTTCCAGAGCAGGCATCCACTGTGACCAGGAAAAACCCGGGCTGAGAGAAGGACATGGTCACTTCATTCACCTGGCAGGTTCAGGGGGGGAAAAAAAAGTAAAATGATACACATTCAGTAAGATAAGGAGATATATGTTTGGACTTGTTTTTGTACAGTATATGAGACTGGAATGCTCACAGTGATAAAAGAGCTCGTATCTCCCCTTTGCTCCTCTTTGCTGCTGAGAGACTTGATTTGTGTTTGGAGGTAGGAAGTCCATGGCTCACTAGAAAACACAAGCTGTGACAGCAAAACATGGTGAGCAGTGCTGGCATGTGTCTTTAAGTATCCAAACAGGAACCTCAGACTATTATACAAAATGTGGTAACACAAACCTGTTTAGCACCACAGCCTTTGCAGGGCTCTGTGTTTAGGGGCGGCATAGGCACCACTGCTGAGGGAGTCTTGGAGTACTTGGGGTAGGCCTTGGATGTGCAGTTACATGTTTGTTTCGAGGATGTTGTGGCCGTGACCTTCACTCTTTCACAGCCTTTAAATGTACAGTAGCTGTGACCCTCACGACCATGCCGGGCTCGGAGGTAGAGCCACACCAAGCTGGTTGTGATGGGAGAACAAGAGGAACCTTTAATTAATTTTCAGAGGCAAGGACGTCTAGGAAGGAGAGACTTTTAAGTCTGAAATTTTAGACTACATTGAATTTTGTACTCTTACCCAGCAGTCTGATCAAAGAAGTACTTCCTCTCCATCGGCCTCTTCTCCAGCTCTGCAAGGGAGGATACAGTGCCGTAGTCTGTGATGTCATCAAAGGTGTTGCTCTGCCTATCGTAAATGTCAGCCATGATCTGAAAGGTGGTGTCTGATGGGTAACAGAGTCCCACGAGTACCCAATCATCTCTGAGGGAGAGAAGAGAGAAATGTTATCATGCACAGGGAAGCTTTTTATTCTAGGTTGATATAGTTCTAAAGAGATCACTAAAATTCATAATAACTGAGTCAAATATGTATTTTTCTTATAGGTGAAGTTGCAGCAGGAGTGGTCACAAACTCACCTCCAAACACCACTGGTTACTTACTTGTCAAAGTTGATGAGAGAGAGGACTATCTCTCTGGGAGCAGGTCCACTCCAGTGCAGAGTGTAGCTCTTGCTCATCATCAGGATGGGCTGGTATTGCTGAGAGGGTGCCCCCTGGCTGTTAATACCCCTTAGTACCAAGGGAGCATATGGATATTCATCTCTGTTGATGGATAAGCTGAGGCTGGGGGCTCCCTGGGTCTGGAGGTACACCTGCAGGAGGATGCAACAAAGTGGAATGATCAGGAGGACACATTACATTAAAATAACAAAAGGTTTAGGCCTTGACGAGATGTACCTGAGAGTAACGGCCGCTGCAGATCACTCCGCTCCACTGGGACATGTTCACACAGCCAGGATGTTGGATCAGGTAATTGTCAGCCCTGCCTACGTAAGTGTCTATGTAGCCTGTTACTGAGCCGTCCACATCGTGAAAGATCGAGTTTTTATCTCCGTCCAGATCGTTCTCTTCAAACCACTGCCCAGGACGACCAAAGAAGGCTCGAAGACCCACCTACAGATATTTTTTTTCAAAGAGAGTTGTTTTTTATTACAATACACATTTCAGCTAAATGTATCAATCTGGGTCATTATAGCTTCTGTTAAGTACCACCTCTGGGCAACATTTGTGTGGGAGTAAATGTGTTTTTGAAAGCACAAGCTTTTTTTTCCCCCAGCAATTAATCATTTCAATCTCGTGTTGTTGTTTGTTTGCCATCCATAATGACAATGCCTGTCTTTCTGGGGGATTGCAGTATGAAATGTACACTAGTAATTGATCACGTTTTTCACATACAGTATATTTATGAAGCACTTCAGATGAACAAATCCCTGCTGTATGAAAAGGTTTTTCATTAGAGATTTTAATTTGAGAAAACAAATGCCTCCTTAACTTAAGTACCTCTTAAGCAAACCTTTTTTATTTGTTTTCTGGTAAGAAATCTGACAGCAACGACCACACTAGTTTGTAAAAAATAACTAGTCATAGTAGTAGTTTCTCTTTGAACAATTCAGGGAGCTACAGTTTTAAGGGATTGTACTTATGGGACTTGAAATGTTCATAAATAAGTACAGCAAGGGCATTATGATATCAGAGCTCAGATAAGATGAGCAGAAGATATATACAACCCTGTCAAGGTAATGCACTGTTCCATATCACCACAAGAGGGCACCAGTGATTAACAATTGTTTCTGAACAGGCTGTGACTCATTTTTTGGTCTTCTATTACTGGTGTTTTAACTGTAAACTCTGTTACTCTTATCTGAGATCTTATCTTATCAACTGTACAGGATGGTATCAGGTGTGAAGAAGATCAAATCGGTACAAAGTGCCAAAGAGAAAACTATCTGACTGTCCCAAGAGAACACTTAAATCATGGTAGAGATAAAATGGTAAACCAAAGATGAATAAAACAGTGTTTAAATCAAATAGTAGTGACCCTTTATGAATGATTCCTGTGGCTAGCTCCATATTGAGCCTCTATATCAGCGTTACATCACAAGTCAGTTTGTGTGGGTAACTCTTCGATTGGAAGAGTAACTGTTTCCTGTGTGACCCTTAGTGTTACTCACTGTTGAGTGGAAGTTGATTGGGACAGGTTGTTTCGTGGGGTGAGCTGCCAGGTGTTCTTCAGGTTGAATCCCACTGCGCTGGTATAACGCTCAGGTGTGGGGATGTATCTGCGAAATGTACTCTCTGTGAGGCTTACAGGACCATCGTAGATCTGGAAACCTCGGATAGGGAACGTCCTACAGAGGACACAGAGAAGGCATAGCCCACGGGTCAACAAGACAAGTGACGGCAATAAATAGACAAGGATAAATATAAAGTACAACATATATAGAGACCATTGTTCAAATGAACAATCACATTGTGAAAACATGGACAATCCAAAACTCATGGAGATAGAGAGTTTCATTAGAATTATTAGATTATTAACAAAACCAAAGATCTCAGCTAGACAATGAGATCACTGGGAAGCAGGACATTAGCATTAATCTATGATTCCGAGTCACGGCATTATGTCAGTTTTGCTATATTTATGTTAGTATTACAGACGTAATAGTCATTGTAGGATAGTGGTATATGTTGTTTTTACATAATGTGTATCTCTTTCTGAAACAGTTCACTCTCCAATAAAAATACTTGTATGTATGGGAAAATAAATTGGCAATGTTTATGCTTGTTGTGGGAAAGTTCATCTCTATAACAGATTAGACAGAAATGAAGAATCTTGATTGTCAGCATGAGACGTGCTCTGGATTCTGTTTGTAGAACATTTATAGTCCGAGCTGTATTGACCAATTAAATATCAGCAGGCTTTGTTCTTAAGTCTGTGCTGAAAAAACAAGGAAAGAGCAAAAACCCTGTGGAGCATTATCTGCACTAATGACATACCAGCTGTCACCAGTGGTAATTTCTATAAACAGATAGTTGACAATCCATTACAGATCAAACACTTCAGCTTGAGCCACAAATCCGTTTGAGGCTGTGTCACATAAGCCAATCAGTGTTTAGATTTCCAGACCACCTGAAATGCATCAGAAGTTATCGATCCGACCTTCAATACAAGTATTTTAAAAGTTGTTTTATTCTCCTCTTGAGGTGAGACCTGACAAAGCATTCATGTTTACTTTTTACTGATCAGCAACATTATGTTCTTGTAAATCATTGCGTTTTTCAATTCCAACCACTGGCTTCCCCAGAATTGCAGTTCCCGGAAGTCCACAGTATCTTGTCAATCAGACGATTGTAGACGAAAGTTGCAGAAGGGTTCCGAGATTGCGACTAAGTGACAAATGCAAGCCTCAGCAGGGGTCAAGCAAAAACATTTTGTCGAACACGTGTGTCAGATATGAATAAGAATCTTAGATTTAACATCAGATTTTGTTTTCTTTCATATTGTGGGTGTTTATAGACTTGTGTTTTTACTAATCTTGTAAACTGAACCTTTGTTACATTTAAAGGTTCAAAATATCCAGTCGTTTAAGTAAAAGTATTTTCTAAAAAGCAAGTGGAAAAAAGGGTGTCAGCAGTTCTGGCAGTGTCCAAGAGGACGACAGACGAGCTGACTGAGTCAGATGTAACTGTGCGGTCAGGAAGCCTGTAAAACATCTGTAAATCTTGGCACAGCAATGACAGTGGTCACAAGGTGATATAAACCCGGGTTCTTAAAACTAATAAAAGCCAACTATTCAACCAGTCTATGTTTATGTTGCTCTCCTCTTGAATAACAAACTGATAAAACTGAGTGAGGAGACCTGAGTGAGGAGATATACATCTTTAAACTCTCCTCTCATTACAATTGTCCCCTTAGTCAGAAATGGCATATACTAGAAAATCTATTTACTGCACTACAATAGTGTCTTTTTTAAGGTAAAGTCAGCAAGGCACACAAAAGCTTTCAGTCTAAGATCTGTTTAATTTACTTATCAGTGGAAGCGGAGTGGAAATATCTGCCTTTTCTCCTCCAAACAATATGGGTAATCAAAAGGAGAGGAACAAAGAGATGACATTGGGAGCTGTGTCATAAAACATTCCCTCCTTCTTTAGTGATCTTATCTCAATGAGAAATCTTTCAGTCAAAAATTGCAAGTATTGCGTCACAGTTCATAAAATGCCAAAAATATCACTGAAGGAAACTCAATCATAACAGAACGTCCTTTCACCCGCAGTATGAATCAGCTGTAGGAGCCTCATCCATCCATCTGTCCAACTACCTGATTGCCTTTCTGGCTCTCTCTTCCTTGTTTGTATTCCCAAGAATATTTCACCTCGGCCAACTACTCCCAACGCCATTCCGTGCAATTCCTATTAAAAACTAAATTTGATTGTAGTTTTCCTTCAGTTACTCACATATGTCACATATTTCCTCCTTAATTAAATGCTGCTCACCTGTTTCTGGGCAGTGTTCTCATTTTGGCATCAGCACCTCCTGGGCCCCAGTATTTATTCTGTCCTCCATTCGTTCCTCTGTTTTGGCTTTCACCCACAAATAGAGACTGTGTCACTTCCTGACTGGAGCCTTCATCCTTTGGGTAGCTCCCGTCACTGAAGAAGAAAAGAAAAGGTGTATACAGTGACTACCAAAAAAACGTCATATAAATATGTTAACATGTTTAAAATGTAATTTTAGGGACCAAAGCAGAAAGAAAGCATTGGGCTAAGCAGGAAAGAGTGCTTGTTAGATATTTGCACTGTAGTTATCAATCATGAGGATATCTTGACAAGTTCATCTGGCAAAGAAAGAAGAAAGCCATACATGGCTGAATACAATGAGACTTTATGAGCAGACTGATTTCAATGAGCACACACCTGGCAAATGATAATCCCACTCCATTGTCTGCAAAGCTGTTTGAAGAAAGAAGAGACAAAAAAGTTGTATAGTACCAGTGAGTAAAAAGTGTCATCTGTCACAACCAGTGGATGAAGCCAACAAGAGGAAGCTGTGGTAGGATTACATTAATCATACCAACAGAACAAATGACGACATCCTATTTTTCTTTGGACACCATCCATTTATTTTCATCAGAAAGATCATGAGTACTCAGTTCTCTTGAAGACAATATATTAGTCACATCAAATCCTGTAGAAGCCTCACCCAGAGTTCTCGATGACGATGTCTCCTCCCCGTATCCACGCTCCTAAGTCGTTGTTCTTGAAGGAGATCAGAGTGTCGATGACGGCTGCAACCCGAGGAAGGCTTGGGTTTGCATTCTGGTGTGGTCGGAATCTGATAAAAAAAAAAAAAAATAGATCAAACAAGTAAATACTGACGTCACTATTCTGTTTTTGATGTTCCTTGGACAATATTAATTTACTTTAAATCTTTCAACCCTCCTAAAATGTCATTACACACACTTAGCTAGTTGTTTTTTTTCTGAGGATTAAGAGTGATTTATGGGCCTGATCATCATAACATAATCTTATGTAAATCTGCACTGACATAATATATAACGACTGAGAATCTAAAACCCCACAGTCGAACTCTAGAGGCTGCAGGCGCCAATGCTTATACCTCCCACTTTGTGCATTACGGAGACATCATGATGTCACAGAGTGCAGACAGGACTTATCCCCCTATGGAGTATTAAAGTGTCAATAAAAGTTTTAGACCCATCTGCCCATTAGATTGTTAGAATAAAGAATGTGGCATAAAAAACTAAAAGTCCAAAAAATTACTCAAATCAAAGGTAATTGTTCCCTATATCCTCTTGGTGAGAGTTCCTGACAATCACACAACACTGATGCCCCCCCCATTTAAGATGAATGAACATTTTACATTTTAAAATGTAAAATCCTCCCACTGATACCTCTGCTCCAAACATACGCTCCCACACACCCCCACAAGCACACCCCCACACAGCTTTTCCAGCAGTGGACACGCAAGCTTTTTTCCATCTAGCTGAGGGCTGTATTTGGGTAGGGAGCTGCAGAGAGGAAACTCTATCTGTGAAGCCTTGTTTTCTCTGTCAACACAAACCTGACAGACCTTCCACTAAAATGCAGCAACAGAGTATGAGGCCAGCTATCAATGCGAGTCAATGGCCATATCCTCGTAGATTTAGTCATGAATAATCTGACACACAAATATAATAGTCAAGCACAGATAACTTCATGTTTACATAGTGTAACTGAATGCCAGCCATAGAGCCTCAAATAGTGCTCAATAATAGGGACTAGTCAGCTGTACATAAATATCAATTCACAGACACTAACAACTTGTGACTAATGAATATACTGGATTTTACACAGCGTGAATGATGGACTAAATGCAAAAAATGTGAACCGCTATCTTACATGCAGATACACACCTAGCACTGTTATCCAGACATAGGTACTCCCGGGGGTCAGCAGCACTGGCGTTGGTGGTCTTCACTCCTTTATCAATGAACAGCCCTGCCTAAGAGAGAGTATGATGATATTACATGCAGAATCTTCTCTTAAACTAAGCATACCAATTCCAAGATGGTTTATTTCTGTCTGCCTAAACAAGACTACAGGTATATTTTACAGTGTGGGATCTGAGGCAATTATAAATGCACTACATTTATACCCTGGGCTAACCGAGTTATGGACTCGATGCTGCACAGGGTTACTGCGGAAAGCAGGAAAAAGGTAAACAGAATTCCTGTGAGTATTTTTCCTAATGTATATGAACATGTAATGTATATTTACACACTCCAAAACATATGGATTAGTTCTGTATATTTACAAAAATGTATCATATGATAAAATAAAGAGAAAATGTCATGCCCGTATATTTGTGTATGGCTTATGTTTATGGAAACCTGTGCTCTGAGTTGGTCTTGTGGTATAAGCGAGGTATAGTCTGAAACCTCAGGGCTGCTTCCTCTATAAGAGAGGCTGCTGTGGTCAGGCCGAACAAAGACCTTACAGTTCACCTGCCCCGACGTCTGTCATTACACCACAGAGCACTATTCCAGAGGCCACACTCTTTTTTTTTTTTTAGCAAGAACCATGTGAGTAAACGGAGAATTAGATGATATAAGTTATCATCACTGCATTTCTCTTGTCTCTATAAAACATAGATATAGAAGAGACATCTTTGTGAGGCTCGGCGATTTATACTGTACTTTTTATTGAGGAGAGAAAATAAGCTCGCTTGAGCCTGAACCAACCACCAAAAAAAAAAAGGAGCTTGAAGATAAGCAATGCTTATGATACCTTAAAGTTGGAGTGTACACGGTTGTTGTAAAAAATCCCCAGAGGGGTCAGCTCTGCCTTGGTCTCTGGTACCAGCCCATGAGAGTCTCCGGTGGAAGAGCTGTGGAACACAAACCATATGCCGGCATCCTGTCACAGGAAGCAAGAGGAGACAAATTAGGAGATAAACAAGATAAATCATGTTGAGGGTACAGCTGGTTAACAGCAGAAATGTCATTATCTGGGCTCATAAAAACATCATCCTTAGATGGAAGGCTGAGTTAAGCAATGAGCACGACTGGGCAGGATTTCATATAACATGCTGGTCAAGTCCCAAAGAAAGATTAAACAAAGAGTTTATATGAGTTCAATTCCTCATTAAATTTTACAGTTCAATAGATGTAGACAGAAAACTTTAATTAATGACACGCATACCCCCTACCAATAAGTAGCATGTTACAGCTCTCCCAGTTGATCCCCGCACTGTTTGTGCCAAGGTGAAACGATGAGATGAGGGATTCACTTCTGCATTCTTCTATAAAAGGCCTCACTGTTTGATCAGACACTAAAGCCCGGTAAACCCCATTTTATTGATGGATCATATTGTTATGAGTGTTTCATGTTTGTTCTGTTAAGTTGCAGGAACACCAAAGCCAGCGCAGCCTCAACCTTTGTACTACCGTTCATGTTTCAATCACGGTCTCTTCCAGTTGGTTCTTCATTTTTAATAATCATTTGTTGAAAAGAAAAAGGTTCATTAGAGGCTGTTTTTCTTGATAAATCTGATGTTATTACCTGAGAACCAGCAGCTGCGTTGCTAATGAGATTGTTGTTGGGGTTGGCGATCCAGAAGGTTGAAACTGCCCTGGAAAATTCACACACACACACACACACACACACACACACACACACACACACACACACACACACAAACAAAGACACAGACATATAAAATATTAGACATGCAAGCTCAAAAAGATATTAAAAAGACAGTTCCTCTGCATGACAGGGACTATGACTAAGGAGCAGAAAGAGATCAAAGAGTCTTGTTATCCTTCAAAATTCCCTCAATAATCCAACTCTCCAACATAAATCCCGGACAGGGACAACGCTGCCAACACACACACAGACTGAAACTCGTGGAAACAGGGCTCGCTGCTTCGCTGAAAAGGAGCTCTTTTCTTTTTCTTGCTAAAACATAAAAACATCCTGTGGAGAGCAGAAGGTTGTTATTGCTTGGATAAAACCTCCCTGCCAATATCTCTTACACACACTATTGCTCACTACAGTATCTCTTTCACATGGGCATGGACCTCTCTGTGTTCTCTCACGCACGCGCACATGCACACGACTGAGAGCGAGAGGCTTTTCAGTCAGTGTGAAGTATTGATTGATTTGAATTCAAGTTCTGAAAGTCTGCGCTACCTTTATTACGACAACAAACAAAAAATGGGAACTTGTGACAAAGTAAATAAGAGTCCAAACACTGAGTGTAGTGGTCTGATGTTCATGAGATGAAAGGGTTAAGCCTGCATATGTGAACTTACAGAGAAGTTTTTTTTGTTTCTGTGGTTGAATCGAAACCTGTCAAACTATTAAATTGACTAAGATGGGTGTGAACACACAAGTAAATCATTGATTTTAACACCCACACTTTGCTCACACAAATGAAACTGTTTAAATGTTATACTGCAATCTACTGTAACTACTTACAGACGTGCTTTTGAGGATTGTGTAAAAACCCATGATGTAATTACTTAGATTGTTCTGAACTCATATCTCTAACCAGAGACATACAACGTGGTCATTAATCTCTTACTTGCACTCTGTGCTGGGTGAAGGAGTGTAGCCCTGGTAGACTTTGTCCTTGATGCTGGTGCACAGTGAGTCATTGCGGTCAGTTGGCAGCAGAGTCCCAGGTCGAGTCAGCAGACCAAGGTTGTGGTAGAGAGTGTTACGCTGCTCGATCCCGTCCTCAAGGAAGAAACAGTGACCCAGGGTGTCATAACCTACAGTGTTCTTCACCTGAGGCAAAGAAATAACACCATGAAATATTAAAAAAACAGAAGAAAGAGATTAGAACTTTTAGAGCTTAAAGAGTTCTACACAGGTGAGAAAAATAAATACAGCACTGTGGTAATATTTCCTTTTACGAGGAGGAGGTAGTTTATAACTGATGGAAATATGCAGAAAACCTTGGTAAACATGAGGGCTCGGACAAAATTTTAGTACATCTTGGAATCATCAACAGCCCACAGGAAAATACAGTTCGTTCCAAATGGGAGATGTGCCTTCCTTTCTAAATACTTAAATTCCTTAAAGAATGTCCCACTAAGAGTGTTTCTTATTTAATCAATATTAAGGTATGTAGAAAATGATGATCACAAGAGAGCTCTAGACGCAGATACAAAACATGAGAATATTCACATGCTCGTTGTGCCAGAGGCGACACAGGAAAAACAGCAGAGCCAAACACTGCTATCCAAAACTGTGTAAATTCCATTTCCTTGATCCAGACAGGAAGAATGCCTCGAATTGTACAGCCTTGAGGACCAAAGTAAAACCCATCACCGGTTGATGTCAAGAGGGAGCATAACCCTCACACAAACAAAGACATTATGAATTTGCTGTTGACAGACACACTTGTGTAAACAAGTCTTATGATTTCACTGATCCAGAAAGTAAATAAAGCACATGTTTACATTTGTGCAAAGTTAGAGAATAATCACAAGGGAATCATTGAACCTATTGTACAGTACCTCTTTCCGAAGAGACCTCTAAAGAGATCATTAATTAGAAGAGAAGGAGGAGGTTTTCAAGTTAGAGAAGGAGGGAAAAAAAGGAGAGGGAGGAAAATGGAAGGGAAACAGGCCATAACTGTAATCCAGTCATTGATGCTATAACTGATGAGTTCAACATTGTACATCACATGGTACTTATTAGGGAGAGCTCTCTCACAAATCTCTCAACCATAAATATGTTTCATATGTCCATAGCTGTCTATTCTTTGCTCTCGCATTCATTTTAGGCTTGCTCATGCTTTACTCACCAGCAAACCGTTGGTAGCGTGAATACTGAGACAGCGGGAGAAGGAGTGGTGTATGGAGAGTCCGTCCACATAAGTGGGCTCCCAGTAGCCTCCTTTCTGGTCCACATCCCCGCATATATGGAAATGGAGGGGGTAGTGGCCATTCTCAGCCTGCTGACCCATGTTCTTCAGCTCCACGTGGGACAGATGCACTGATGAGAAGTTACCAAAGATCTGTCCATGTGGGAGGGAGAGAGAGAGAGAGAGAGCGAGAGAGAGAGAGAGAGCGAGAGAGAGAGGAAATTAAATGTCATTATGGGGGGTAAGTCACAAAAGAGAAAGCAATTTTATCAAGCAAGAACAATAAGTTATTATGCAAAGCCAAAAGTACCTAACCTCAGTTTTGTGAAGGGTAACACAAGGTTCATATGTTTCACCAAAAGTAGGCTAACCATCTACCCACTCTCGTTCAATTAAAGTTTTGGGTTAGCAGTTTGATTTTCTCTGTTTGACTATGACCCCACAGGGATATGAACTGTAGCTCCATTGGCATCCTGTCCTGGTGAGTCAAACTGTGCCAAAACCACTATTGTTTCTTCATATCATAACAAATGTGAGTTGTAAAAGCACACATTTAAAGCTTTAGCTTTATGAGGATGCTCACATGCAAAAACAAATGTACTGGGGAGCAAGTAAGTTAAACGTGAATGTCAACAAATAATCTGATCCTAATGCGATAGACATTGCTGCCTAGTGTTTTTTTTCGTGTGGGTATAGCATAATCAAAACAGTCTGGTTCCTGTTATGGAGGTATTGGCCAATCCCTCCAGCCAACTGGAACTCAACCACATACGCACACACATATTGCATATTGATAAGCAGAGCAAGACTGATATGGGATTACTGAGGTTGTTTCTGTCGTTTAGGTCGGTTAGTTTGGGGTTGGGCAGGTCAGTGGTTTTTAATGCAGATTGTGTGATGAGAGAAAGCTTTCGGGTGGGGACGGTTAATGTGGTAAAACAAAAGTGGTTTGTTTAGCTCAAGGGGATCAGTTACACAAAGCCTTAGGAATGTTGTTGTGTGTTTGCCACCAAAGCGAATAGAATCATACAACCATTAGCCAAATTATAATTAAGTCATTGCCAAAATAAAGGCCCATGTAGGTCGAGGTCAGTGAGGACATGATGCTACAGTTATTTGACACTAACCTGTCTTATGACTGCAGTCTTTGTTTAGATTTATAGAAAACACATTTTCTTTAGAGGAAGTGTCAACATTAAATTAAATATTGTAAAAACTGACTTGAGGAAAAAACTAAGTTTTATAAAAGTGAGGGAAATAGCAGTGTGTCACATATACTTAACTGGAAACTCAACAATCCTCTCATTTGGAACAGTATAACAAATAAATACACAGTGTATGAACACTTCGACCCTGCGGTATGGAAACTGTCTGGCACATTACTGCACACATAATGACATTTAATGAGAATGTGAAGTTCTGCCGAAGCAGGCAGAATCATACAAAACACCAAATGCAGACAAAGGGTACAGGCTGAAAACACACACACACACACACAAAGCACACCTTGATGTGGCCTCCAAAGGTGTCATGGTTGTAGAACTGGCACTTGTTATTTCCGTAGCATGAGTTTTCCATTTCTCCATAGATCAAAATGTTCCTGGAGAGCAATGCCACTTCGGCACGCATATCGACCCCATCTAAGATTTCTCCCACATGATTGTACTGAGGTTTCCCTGGGCAGAACAGACGAGGAGATTCTAGTTCATATTCACAGCCAAAATATGTCATGACAAATGTCTATCACTTCATTCTATCTTAGCTTAAGACAGCAAAAAAGCTAAAAAAAAAAAAAAACACTTCTGGAAATCATCTAATTTAACAGAAATAATAAGAAACACTTTTGGATTTTTATTCATGAAGAACAGTTCTTAGTGGACCCAGTCATAGCAAGATACAAAGCTTTTGTAAAGCTTTACACAAAATCTAGAAACAAACAGGTAGAAGCATTTAAACCAAACTAAGGTGTTTCATTTCTGAAAATTGTGTTTTTTCCAACTGTCATCAAAAGAAGATATGCTAGCAGTCATCCCTCAAACATAAGCAACTATCCATACCCGAAACCAACCAAGCAACCAAACCTAAAACACATACAAGCACATGCAACCAAATTTATATAAAACACTAAATAATCAGCTCTTTGAACATGTGGAAAGTACCCCTGCCCATGGCGTGCAGCTGCCAATGATAACGCACAGCAGTACTCCAGCTGCTCTGTCCTTCGTCATGGCAGAAATACAAAAACGATAATAACAAACACAAACTATAATACACCCATCTAAGAAGGGAGTTGCTGTTTAAGAGGAATGAGATCAGGACACATATCTCAGATGGATAAATGGGGAAGTAACAGCAACAGATTAGAGTTGAGGAGCAAAGAAGGTAAAAGAACCCAAAAAACTGCTGTGGTTAATAAAGGATAAGGTTACCGTCAGAGTAAAGCTGATAATCTCTTTTTGAGTTTCTGCCAATATTCTTACATCAATGTAACAGCTGAACAGGAAGTAACATCTCTCTGGACCTCATGATAAAAAAGTAACACATCTGCTAATTGTATTTCTTGACCTTATTGACAAATCTGAGGGTGAAGTCTTCTCCTACATGGCGAGTCATGATGAGTAATCTCATAAATGTACTGTTATGTGATATATCTATGCAGCACAACCCAGATTCCTTCCTTCCTCTTTCAGTCAAGTTTTAAAGGAAGTGAACAGTTCTAATAGGATCCTTCATAACAGATCTACAGAACGGTCAGATTATAAGCTTCACATTAAAGGAGAAGGCTTCATTACATAAACACACTATAACAGACAAAGCCATATTGAGTTTAGTAAAGGATGTGCAACTATAGAACCTAAGACAACAGGCTCCACACTCTCACCTTGTATCTTGACCTGCCTGCTGGTGCATTGTTGGCAGGGCAACAAAGTGAACTCTTCAGCCTGATGCATGGAGTAGTCTGTGCTTGCGACAACAATCTGATGCCCCGGTTTCCAGCTGGGCTGCACTTCATCCTGCAGGTTCAACACCACTTGGTCTACAGCATCCACCTGGAAGCCTGATATAGCGACACCTGTGGGAAGATATGGCAATGTTTTTAGAGGGGGAATAAGTTAGTCTCCACTCAACATAAACACAAATCTCCTGGCTTTCATTGCTCAATAGTCATGAAGACAATGTGACGCAAACACTGATTCAATTCCAGAAGTGAAATGTTTGTATCAGCCCAAAAACATGTGTAACTGATCTTAAACTACTATCTTTTTACACTTTATGTTCTACAGTGAAAGTGAGTCACTGGCATTCACAGCAGTAATTAAGGAAGATAAAGGTTGTGCCTCACCCAAACTACATACGCAAACAAACACCCACAACCACACATTTGTCAAAATGGAATGGTCAGAAATACACTTACACGCCACACCGTCACAAGAATGTCTTTCATGCTCAGATGATTGATGTGTTAAACAGGTGGCATGTTGGAAACCTAATAATTCACCCTTAAACCTTTCTTCAAACTGTTTACCCCTACAAAGCTAAGGAAACCTCTCCATTATCCCCTGGACTGCTGCCATGATACTGACGCCTGTTATTGTCCATCACTACAGACCAAAGACTTCTAACATAGAGCTGCATATTGGAATAAAGTACAATCCAAGCACTAACATTAATAGCAGGACACTTGATCATTTTTGTTTTGCCTTCGAAACTGAAAAAAAAAACATATGCTCAATAGGTTTTGAAAGTGATTCCATAATAAACTGGGACGCACCATTCTTCCACTCGCTGTAGGCGGTGACCGAGAAGCCCACTCCATCCACGGTTGTGAAGTTCCCCCTTGCCAGGGCTCTCCCTCCGGTGTCGTGGTTTTCATGTTCCCTGACGTCCTCTGAGCATGACGCGTTACCACCGCCTACCACTGAGACCAAAGCCCACGCCTTTCTGAGGATACCAGAAGGATTAAGAGTGAGGGGAAGAGACAGAAATGTTGTTGTTTTTTCAGGCATTTACATTTCAGAAACCAGTCTAACACATCTATAGAGAACAACAAAAGATCAAGTTTATACGGGCAGTTTTCTGTTGACTCCCTTTGGATGATAAATATGACCTTGAATAGAGGCTGAAAGTCACTGCAAACTCACAGTGAGCACTCAGTACTGCGCCCTTATAGCTAAACTTGTTATATTATTTGTCATATAATATCCATCATAATATTGATTTCCACCAACCATGACCCATAACAGAATACCTGAATCAACATATAAAGCCACTGAAAATGTATGGTGGCTGCAGCAGTCTCACTATCAGCACTGACATTATAATCAGGTGTATGTGACCTCTTAGAGACGAAACAGCACTATTCGTCTATATATATAAGAGTTCAACTACATAATAACATTTCTGTTTTTAAGTGTGTGTTTCCTGTCATGTAACAGCCTGAAAATGTGTCAGTCACACACATAAAACCTCCTCCCCTGAGCCTAAAGATAATACAGACCCTAACACACAGTGTACATGTGGGTGGGGTATCTGGAAAAAAGTTCAAATAAGGTAAATACATGCACTGCTTGAAGCAGGATGGGAAGAGACAGAAGAGTAGGACACTGCATATCAGAGTGGATGTTATGTAATGATAAGAAGACAATGAGAGGTCAAAATCCACAGAAAGAATGTCAGAAAAGTCGAGGGAATTTTAAAATGAGGACAGAGGTTTTCAGAGAGGGTGTGTTTCATATGTACAAGTCATTCAATTTCAACATTTTTCTTTTGCTAAATCCCTGATTTGTCACTCCTTCGCACAATATTTTCCATAGAGCATAGATGTCAAGAACGTTTTTCAAGTGATTTCATTGATTAACTGCAAAGGACAGCCTAAAAACATTCTCATTCAGGAGCTTTAGGGTGTGGATGGGGAAAGGGATTTGGCGTGCTTCAGAGGGTGTATGACCTTAAACAAACAGTCCAAGTTGCAGCCTTGGATTTTTGTCTTAAATGTCATGCTCTTGGCTTTAACAGAATTACTTTTTTCTTTGTTGTTCTGCATTAACCTGAATGAGTCCAGACGAGCTCAAAGCCTTTTTTTTCTATTCACACGTCCAGTTATAGTTTATGATCATTGTTTTAAACTATGACCTTTACACACTGGCAACACAAACTGACCCTTAGCCTAACTGACATTTAACCATGCAGAGGACTATTTTAGGCCTATGGAATCAGAGCTTGGTAGCCAGTAGAACAAAATGCTGGACAGGGAAGCAGAAGTCTTACAATCTTTCATCCTAAATTTCCTATTCAGCTCAACTTGATCACTTGTTACCATGATGGATCCACAGTAAAGGCTGCAACTTACTGCACATAAACGGCAAACAGAAGCAGTAAAATACACAATCCTCTCCTTTGCAAATCATCTTTGAAATAATAAAATCACAAAAAATACACAAGAATAATGAGATAAGAATTCTTGTGTTTACTCATAGAGTCCACCTAATTATTAGTGTCATTTCGGGATGCTTTCAACTTCATGTGCCTCAGCCTGTGTGAAAATTTCCATCAATTTTCATACTAATTGTTCCCAGTGGCATAATCACAACCTAAACAAGTCGTCTTGTAGATGAGAAAGCCCCTCTAACGTTTCACCATGCACCCCACTGATACACAAACTGAAGTCATCTGGGGATCATCTCTGTTCTGTCGCTTCAGCCCCAGAGTGTAGCACATCCTGCTGGGAGAAATCAAGGAGGCCTCCTTTCTGTCCTGAGGCTGCCTATGTGCAGCTTTTGTCAGTGTGCACTTTAAAAATCAAACAAAGAGGAGACATTAAAGAGAGTGGTTGTTTGTTTTACTGTTTCCCTTGACACATACTTCAGCTGATGTTCAATAGCGTTTTAACAACCTTATTGTTTGACCGGAACTGCAGAGGAGTGGAGGCCGGAGCTGAATATACTGCAGGCTGACCTGAACGTTTGTTTATGTGCGCTGGCAGACAAAGATTAAAGACAGAGGGGCTGACAGGCATGAGGTAGGAGCCAATGCATTTATGTTATCTGTGCCAAGAAGCAGAGTTGTTGTCACTGAGATCAACTTAAAGTAAATAAATTATATTCAGGTAATATAACATAAGCTGGAGATAACAAGCAGTTATAGAGGATTATAAAGCATGCCCTTGGAGCTTACAGTACACACACACACACACACACACACACACACACAATCATACACACACACAATCACACTACAATTGGTTCCTGAGTACACTCTAGTTCAATCTCCTGCTGTTCCTACACATCCGGCCGTTACATGTCATAAACAGATCTACACTTCATCATTACTCCCAGTCCTATAGGTCATACGCCTTTACCACCCAACTCTTTCAACCTAAATCACTCAGCCTAACATAGTGTGACTTTAATGAGACACTAAACTGCATGTTCTCTCATAAATGTGTGCTATGTGTTTCCTCCTACCAAAAGCAAATCCACAGAAAGCTTAAACACAAATCCCCACTCCAATAAATAATCAAATGGTTAGAGGAGAATACACACTACCAACCCGCAAACTAACAAGCACCTTTAAACATAGAGAGGGCTCTATCGTCCCATCCATTTAAATAACTGTGCTGTGGATTTTTTTTTGCGGATTTGTTTGAAAATGTGTGCTGCCTTGGCACCCACCCCTTGAGAGTGAAATGTGACACTGGAGAATCTGGCTCAGCACTTGGCTTTTCAGCCAACCAAGGACCAAACTGGGCCAAGCTACAAATAACTCATAGTGAAAATGCTGCGCTAAGACTTTCCTTTGAGAGAAACACATGTGTGCATACATGTGTTCGAGTGACAGTAACGGAAGAGCTAATGTCGAATAAAGCCGAAACAACAAAGTATAACCCCACATGGACAGAACTAAACAAAGCAGTATAACTGTCCTGCTGAAGGAAGCCTGATGGATATATTATCTGTTGAATCACCTTATTTTGCACAAATCCTGGAAACTCTCCTACCATAACCCCGTTTTCCTGTACGTGCTTCCTTTTCTGACAAAGCACGACAAAGCGGAAACACAGGGGATACAGGAAGATCAATTACAATTCAAGGGAACATCCCTGATGACAAGAGAGATCCATGAAAGAGGACAACTTTCCACACAGGATAGGCATGGAACAAAGTGCTGTTATTGTCAGTCCAAGTATTGAGGCTTCTGAGGTGAAGGGTTTTACTTTAGTGCTTAAACAAAAACACATTAACTTCTTTATCAGCCCCAGGAGACCAAGGATAAACAAAACACTCCCAAACATGAACAAAGACAACAAACCATGGGAACCAATACAAACTCTCAAAGTTTGTATTGGTTCTCGGGCACTGTCTGCAACACATCTTAGATGCAAATGCACTCACACAGATTTTTATACCCTAACAACTGATGCACTCTCCAGAGCAACAAGACACATACCGTAATTCGTTTTCCTATCAAATGCAGAATAATAAACTAATGTGCACAAAACTTTCTTATACATTTAAAGGCACCATTTACCTGTATTTAAGATCATAGACAAAGCTGCTGCCGAGCCTGTCTTCAATGGCTTTCTTGGTATCATCAAGAAGACTTTTAACAGCCGAGTCTCCGACAGCCAGTGTGACAATGCGGCCATCCGGCAGTGACCTCAGTAGTTGGCTGAGCCGTCGACTGTCATTACGAGAGTCGTAAGTATCGTAGCGTTCACAGAGCAGCAAAGCAGCCGTGTCCTGGTCCACCACACGTAAGTTTATGCCTCGGCTGAAGTTCTTCTGGAATGCATAACCTCCAGTGGTCAGACCAGAGGCTGGGATACTTCTGGTCAACAGAGTCCAGGAAACGCTCTCGGTACCATGCAGCTCCAGAGTCCCACCGCTCATGACGCCAATGAACTTGCGGCCCAGGCCAGGCACTTCCGGGACTGTATTGTCATCAGAGCGGCCTATAAGGGCGATGGTGGCTCGAGAACGGTAGCGACATTTGGGAGCACCGATGTGAAGGGCTCCACCAGCTTCTATGAGGATGTGATGTGTTCTCAAGGTGATGTTTTTGGTGCCATCTTTATTGTCTGCGAAAACTACCCGACCTGTGGAGTAGCAGCAACAAACATCAGTTCTGCTGCGATGTATTTTATATTGACACAGCCATAAGCTGAACTGTGTATCCTAAAAACTCCACACATTTAATGATTAAGATGGTACTAATCTTTCACCTTAATGTGCTTACCTCCTGACTGGATGGTTAGTGAATGGAAGGTAGCAGAAGCATCTAATCTAAACAAATGTCCTCTCCTGACAACAACAGCCTTCTCTGGCTGGTGGCCAGGGTTCCAGCTGCTTAGGGACGGGTTGTGGTCCGGGCAATTCTCTGCAAACATTATTAATCAGAAGTTATCAATTAGTTAATGTGATGGCATATGATTACATAAAGATAAAAAAAGGAAATTTCAATAAGTCATTGAAAATACTGACCATCTAGCACATCTCCACTTGTGAGACTGAGGACGAGTATGAGGGTAAGGAAGAAAGCCCCAATGGACACTCCACAACAGATAAATGTGTTCTTTCTTTGCTGGAGGCTCTTAGCACGTTCTCTGTGCTGGTTCGCTTCAGTCACGCTAAAAGTTGCTTGTCGCTCCAGCGGGGGTCCGTGAGGTTTTATCGGTGGAGGTGGTGGAGCTTTGGCAGGTGGCGGCGAGCGGACTGGAGCCACCCGCCCGGGGACATAACCTGGAGACCTCTGTGAGTTGCTGTTAGGTGGAGCCACAAAGATTGGTAAGCGGCCAGGGCCATTATTTGTCGGCATGGTCTAAGTGTCTTCTACCTGAAAGGAGATAGATAATGAGGGAAAGAGGTGAGAAATATATTTCCTACGATGCAGACTCAGGGTAGATTTCTCATCGTATTCACAAAAAGTCTGAAACCACTATGAAGATTTGAAGACTTTAAACAGATTTTATTCCTGGTCGTCTGTCTCATCCAATTTTGTATGAACACAATAAGAAAATGTTACTTTTATGGGAGTCTGTCAGGCTAATCCTTCAAGAACTAAAATTCAACTTGTTTGCTTTCAGCAATTACTTCAATTGCCAAGTGTAGGAGTTGTTATGCTCTATAACATTGTAGAAGGAAGTATAGGCTTAGGCTAAAAGACAAAAAGGAGTGAATAAAACAGAGGTCAAACAGAAGAGGTCATGAAGGAGGAAGATGACACTAAAAGAGCACACAAAATGTGAGTAAAAGCAGTAGGAGGCCAAGGAAGATAAAAGGCTGACTCTCGGGAAACAAGCAATGAGCATCTCACTCACAGACCTTGAGGTAACAATCCTGACAGACAGCCTTGAAAATCCATTACTCAAAAACAGCTTTATCCCCTGGCTAGTTTGGCTCACAGAGAGTGACATTGGCGGCTCTTGTCCACACAGTAACGCAGGAGGTTGTGAATAATGGATCGCAACATTCCTGAGACTGTGTTAACACAGCCAAAACAGATGGCACCAATTACAGTAGGGAAGCAGGAGAGAGCTCCAGCTCGAGTCTGAGCTAACTTATTTCACACAAATACGTAAGTTAAGACAAAGAGAACACACGTATGCACATATTAAGGTCATATGGACACGCACCTGCACACACAAACACACAGGAGTGAAGGAAATGACGGTGCAAAAAAAAAAAAAAAAAGAGGCTTCATTGGCACTTTTCCGCAAAACAAACACTATGTACGTATGAAATGACAGCACAGCTTTCTACTATGGTTCTTTAAAAACAAAACATCAGCAAGTTTAGGCCTTCACACATCGGATTCTGGCCACATGACTTAAAGAATGACCGGGTTGTTAAAACTGTCAGAAAACTCCCCAAAGAAAACCCGGGAATATGATGGATTTTAGACTTCACATCATCTGAGTGAGTATCAGTACTCAAAAAACACACAAATACAGACTCATACACACTCCTGTGCCAACCATCTGACAAAGACAACTGACCATTGTCATCATTTTATACCAGAGCACAACAAACCTCTTCAGCTCATCAACAAAGCACTGTAAAGCCAAGGCCACTCAACAAGGGCTCAGTTATTTCTGTAAGCTGGGTCCAACATCCACTTGAATGTGAATCATCCAGTTTCTTTATTTTTCATCCATCCGACCCAGAAGTGGAGAGTCAAGAACACAGGATCGCTGATAACACTTTTGTTTTGGATGTTCGTCTTCTCAGGTTCAGTGGCCTGTATTAATTGGGCTCAGCATGGAGCCCTGTGATGGGATGATTCCCCAGGCATCAGTCTTTATAACCCCATCTTAGGCAATGTTTTTATTCACATTCCTCACCATGAAAGGGCCAATCTGCAACTGCTCCCCTGCTATTAACTTGACCTGTTAAAACATAAAGAGTTGTGGACTTTACTCACCCTAAGGCTCTTCTGGAAAAATGCACACACAATAATCACAGGACTGGACTGCTTCATTTGGACCCTCGTGAATTCCCTCCCTCCCTCCCTCCCTCTCATCTTTTCCTGATTTCAGAGCTACTGAATATCAAACAGATGTTTTCGGCACACTGGAGTCAAAGTGGGACACACCATCACACATTCCTCAGCTGTAAAATCACCCTTTACTTTGGAAATCATTATTGGCAATGTAACAAACAGTAAGCCACGTGTTTCCTACTTTAACTGGGAACAGCAAAGAGACACACTGCTGACATTACTACTACTACTAGACTGGCACACTTGCAGTAATGGTGGTGGCCCACACAGAGGACGATATATCGGTTAAAGGATTGTGTTAAAATCTAAACACAAAATGATGATTCACTGACTGGGTTTTACTCCACTCACAGAAAAAAGAATAACACAAACTACTCGCACACTTTAATGTTGTTTAAAATGCACAGGCTCGTCTATTACCGACATATTACCACATGAAGAAGAACCCAGAGGAGAACATACGACAGAAGTTAAAGTTGAGTTATAACGTCAAGGAGCCATATTAGCAACATGCAACTTTTGACACTTGTGTGGACACAGGCGAAGAAAAACATTAGTCAACTTCAAGCAGGTAAAACCTCCTCAGGAGAAGCCTCCTTACAACAAAAACTACCCTCAACTTAAAGTTCCCCCCAGCTGAATTCTTTGCAGTAACCCCCAAAGGTTGACAGACACAAATGTTACCGTCAGTGAGACTACAGCTCTGCTCCTCTCCGGCTCTGTCCATTCGCTCTCCGCCAAGCTGTAGAAGACGATGACTCTGTCGTGGTGAGACCTATGAACAAGTTCTCACCCTAGCAGGTTAGCTTTCCGTGTCCCTTTTATATGCTTTTTCTTCACATGGTGGGTTTTTTTTTTTTTCTGCTGCTGATGGGTTGTCGTCCGTCGGTCGGCTCCCCCCACCACCACCACCGTCCCATCGAAGAGGGAAGCAGGCGAGGCTAGGCAGAGAGGAAGTGGCGATGCTTTCAAATGCTGTCGGAAAAAAATGAGCAGCTGTAAAAGCTTTATTAGCTTTTTTGTTACATTGCAAACTTAAAACTGGAGTCAAACCTCTTGGATTTGTATATATAGCTGGTCAATAAAGCTAATTTGAAGTAACATTAGTAGTAGTACTAGAGGTAGTAGATAAATGCATTCACACAGATTTGGGGAAATTACAGAATATATAATGTAATATATTTTACCGCTAAGTAATGAGTTCTAGACATTTTTTTTTTAAATGCATTATTTATTGACTATTTGTTCATCTAGAATATAATTTTCAATTTTCTTCATGAAGGTCAGAATTACACCCCAAGGCAATTACTGAAAATAAATGTTGTAGTATTTTACTTAATTAAAAAATGATCTTCAATTAGAAAAAAAATAATTTATGTTATTAACCAATCTTACTTATTGAATTTAAATATCACTATTCAAATGGATATGGTATGAGACTTAGACTATTGGGATAGGCTTAATTTTATTTGCCTTTAATTATAGAGCACATGCTTCAGCAGTCTTTCGTCCTTTAATTTAGCCTTTATATTCAGTATGTCTGTCAGATATGGTTGTGTGCACAGTATGCATGTGTGGGGCGATGTTCTTTTACTGTTCATAATGATTTACCTCTGCTGCATCAGGCTCTTCACAACTATTTGCACTATTATCAGGAATCCTTCACAGGAAAAAACTGTTCTCTTAAAATAAAATGAGAAAACACTGTGACAGAAACATGAGATTCCTCAATTAACACAATATAACACAAACCTACCAAACAGTTTCATATTCATTCTGTTGTCTTTTGTTTGTGTACTTGTTCTTCCATGATGTAAAGCATCCTGGGGTCTCTTGAATGACATTTTATAAATTCAAGCTGTTATTGTTGTAATCATAATTATTATATAAATCTAATGTGAATAAAAAACCTTTACGTTTATTTATTTCCTGGCTTGTGCGTTTCTATTTCCTACCTAAGACATCTGGACATGGAACAGGCTTTTTGGGCGTAATGATAAGAATCTGAAGTTTCCGAGGAGTCATTGAAACTATCATAGGAAGCACTCGAACAGGGGCTGAAGCTGCTCCATACTGCCGCCTGCTGGAAAATTACTGTAGGCACCAGTACCTTGATACCTTTGTCTTCTTCTAATCCCCTCATCCATAAACTGTTACTGTCCCAAATCAGCAGATCCAGATCTTACCTCTTGACTTCAACCAGTATCAAGTTTATATTTTTATTTTAGTAGAAGCTACTTTGACTCTTTTTATCTCAGTGTGTCTGAGACCGCATAATCACACTGTGTACACAATTTTAATCATTACTACAATATCTGAACAAGGATGGTATCGTGAACAACATCAAGGAATTTCACAATAGTCACACTATATTATCACCCTCTGAATCATAAAGGATTTTCTTTGTTTTGTTTTTGTTTTTTTTTGGGGGGGGGGGGGGGTAATGTTTGCCTTTATTGGATAGGACAGCTGAGGAGAGACAGGAGATGTTGGGAGGAGAGAGTGGGGATAACATGAGTTTCATGAAATAACACCCTTGATAAGAGTCTTGAAGTGTCTCAAACAGTTCAATCACAAATGGAGTTGATATTCTCAGATAGTTTTATTTTCTCTATCCATGTTAGAATTACTATATTAATATTGTTATTACATTTAGATATCTAAAACAAAATATGCTATACAAAATAAGTCAAATCAGAGATGACATTAGGCATAGTGACTTGTTACAAAGTCCACCTGAAAAGCCTAAATGTCGGCCTAACGTAGTCTGACAGTGGTCTATCAAGAGAAGTAAAAAGATCTACAGTTGACAGATTGTAACAAAATAAAAATAAAAATGACATGTCCAGTACAAATATTATTTACAAAGTGAAAATGAAAGATATAACCACCGTCTTTCTAAGACATGAGTTGTGAAAAAAAAAAAAAGTGTTTTCATTACATCAGACCACCACCTCACAAACAAGTTACCAATCCTGCTCTGGATTTGAACTTCCATTCAACCTGTAAGTAATCAGACCTGAGGGTTTACAATAGCACCCATAGGCTCATTGGTTCATTACCAACAGTATTTGACCCCTTTTGTTGAAACAGGCTCAAGAGTAATGCAGGTATTAAACATACCCATAAGAAAATGATTCATTGAGATTTATTTTGTATTTCTGGAGCTGTTACACGGGCCATAGATCAATCAGCCTTAAGTGGCATGCAGTAGCACTTTGACATTTACTTCTCAGTGCCTTGAAGGAGTCACAGGCAGGCTTCTTTTTATTTTATTTTATTTCTTTGCCTATCCCATCATTAAAGATCAGACAATGAATCCAGAAATACCATGCAGACAAAAAATAAGGTTAAGACAAAAACAGAAACGTCTGTTCACGATGGATGACTCCTTTAACGCTGAGCCACGTGACAACCCATTGTCACAGCTCAATTCATTTGAGTGTAACCAAGGTTACAGTCAATTCATTTTTCATCTTAAATGCACTGAAATCAATGCTTCTAAATAAGTTACAACATACTTATTTGTTTCTGTCTACCTGAACTGGAAACAATCGACATCAGCTATGTTCATAAAATCAGTCCTGATGGGTATTAGTGGTTTAAGTCTTCATCAGAGCACAGAGCATTGGCTGCTGTCACAGTAGTTTAAATTTGTATCATATAAAAAAAAAAAAAAGATACATCTGATTTAGGTACACATATGGGAGCCATAATAAAAACTACATACATTATTGGACTTAATATCTTCAAAGCCGAAGACAAATAAACTATAGTCAACACTTGGTTTTGGAATAGGTCATATATTGATAAGGTTACTTGTTATTTTTGAAGAAAACCCTGCATTTAATTTTCTTAAAGTTAAATGCAAAACATCAATTTCACTGACTAAACGTAATGAAAGGGAATACACACTTAGAGGTAAACTTCAATGCTAGCTGTGGAAATGTGATGAAATACTCACACTTTATTGGTCAATGACGTACAGCTCCAGTCTTTGAAGTGGCTGCACGAGCTGCTGACTGAGCTCCATATTAATCTTGTAGATTTTAACATCTTGTTACATGTCATTACTAACAGATAAGTGGAGACCCCTAACAGAGCTTTGGAGAAGTTTGAAGATGTTTTTTTCCACAAAGTACAAATATCTTCGTGTGTGTTCGTCTCTGCATTATTATACTAAACATTTGGCAACACTGGCACAGCTAGATAACATGTCAGTTTGTCTTCAGTGACAGCTGAAACGTGCAAATATCATGAATAACAAAAAATATAATGAACAGTACTCTGAAAAAAAAAAAAAAAAAAAAAGTAATCATGGTGACTGCAGTGTGTGTTGGATCAAAACGACGCCAAAGTCAGCTGGAGTTCAGTTGAAATCTTGTCCAGTCCAGTTTGTAGAGAGGCAGTTCACCAGAACCATAGAAGCCTCGGAGGAGTCTAAAGAACCGTGGACCATGTTATCTTAAAAGGCAGCAAAAATATGACACACAGGCACTCTCACAAACTGTCTTGTACACGTGGTATGTCGTCTAAGCACATGCCTATTTCTCTTTCATTCACACATTTTTTTAAGATGTGCAATTTTCAACATGATAAAAAGGAAAACTATAAGCAAAAACCATGGGCAGTTGTAGGTTCAAAGCTGCATCGTGTGGAGCAGAGGTGCTCGATAATGAGCGAAGACTGCCACCAAAAACTTGACTGACAAACAACCACCTTAACCTGCTTTACGTCAGAAAGAAAAAAGGTCAAATTTGCACCCCTTTCCCAACATCAAACCACCCCTCAAACATTCTTTCCCTCTCCGCCCTTTTCTGACAGCTTTTCTACAAGTTGACCAGCTCATGTGCAACAAACTGTTTGAGTCTCTCCAGGTACTGTCCGTAGAGTTCCACGTCGTTGTGTCCAGCCCCCTCCACCCAGAGCGGCTCCACAGGGCGTTGACAGCGTTCATAAAGCGCCAGGCCGTGAGAGAAGTCGATGACCTCGTCCTCCGTACCATGGATCACCAGCACTGGAGACGTTACCTTTGAAATCTTGTCGATGCTTTGGTTTAAGAAGGAGAAAAATAATCAAAATGAGAAAACATATATACAAAAAAACATTGGATGTTAAAAATTCACAAAGATAATTAAAGCAGAGCTAATTTAAAAACTGCCCACCAGAGGGAGCTGTTGAGAATTTTTCCTAGATTGTTTTGACACAGCTATATTTATAAATCCATTTAAAGCTTTAAATCTTGTGTGTGTGTGTGTGTGTGTGTTTTTTGCTGGTACAAATTCATTCACACCATCCCTTGATTTGAAATAAACATAATGTTATTTGGATAAATTGTGCAGGGAGTCATTCTGTGTATTCTCCAATAGGCCTGTCTTTCTCATGTACCATCTGTCCATACAGGGGACTCACTTTGGGAAGGCGTCGAAGCAGTAGGTCTTCTTGGTGTCAGGGAAGGCCACCCTCATGCCAGAGGTAAGCGGGGAGTGGAGGATGACGGCAGCGCTCTCATAGCGAGAGGCCAGATCCACTGAAGGCACAGTGCCAATGCTCTGACCATACACGATCACATTTTCTGGCCTTATGCCGTACCTGCAAGATGAACACAAAATATCTGAAAATCACAGGTTCGCTGTCTGATGGTGAACAGGATTTGTACACTACTAGCAGCCAGATGCACTGTGGTGAATTGTTTTTGCTCGGCCAGACACTGGCTGGCGTCCAACTAGGCCTTCTTTTAATTAGAAAAAGCAGCTTGGCTGGCAAAAGAAAAAAAAAGCAAATCTTGCGTATTTTGAATACTCTAATTAGTGTAAAAAGTGTCTTTTAAATGTCTTCAAGTTAAAAGGGTAGCTTGAAGTAATCCTGAATCTTATAGTTATATCTGCTTTTAGTCATCACATAGTAAATTCTCTCACACAGCCAATTAGTCTGCCATCATGCTCTCATTCCCCCCACATGCTGCTTCATAAGCAAACACACACCTGTGAGCTAACAGAGACTTACTCACACTCTATTATCGGCTGAAACGTCATGCCACAGTGACTCAGTGATTACCTGGCCTCCTAAAACAAGCACACAAAGATGGGAAGCAGCGAAGGTTCACTGGTTTTCTGCAGCTTTTCATAGCAGTAAAACACAGAGGACCACCACTGGAGACTCGTGATTCAGAGCTCAAGAGGGAGAATTAGAGCAAGTCAAGCAAAAAGAGAGCAAAAGAGACACTGATACTGGATCAAGGGTGAGGGAGAGACCGGGAATGAAAGCGAAGACATTCCTCAGCTTATTATTTCGAACGTGACCCAGTCTAGCGAGCGAGCAGTCAGCTGACAACCTGAAACCTAGTGGAGAACACAGCATCACTGTCTGTACTGCTGAAAAAAGCCAAGCAGTACTTGTCGGTTATGAAAACTGGGAGCACTAATATCACAGGCTTAACATTTCAGCCTCTGCCACTCCACTCCTTAAATACACAATACACAGACTCTAAAGCCTGACAACACTCTGGGCTGCTGTAATGAATAATTATAATCATAAAGTCCACACGCACATGTCTAGCACAACCTTTACTAAGAGACTGACTGCAGTAATGAGGACTCACTGCTCTAAAAGGCCAAAAGACTTGCGTTAAGTGCAGACAGAACTGGAAATGTACATGCAGTATATTAGCAGAACTATAGGACCTGTTTTCTGCTGGTGTGTCAGCTGGCCTCCTCAGAGTATAAATAGTGGTGAAAATATTGGCAAGCATGTGAAAGAACCACTGCAAATTGTTATGTGATGTTTAACAGTAACGCTCAACCTCAAGGCTGGTGGACCATGAGATTTACAAATCATGGATTATTGGACACAATGTTGCTGTTTAAGGGATGAAAAGAATATCACGAGGAGGACAAAATCAGAAACGGCATACAAAGTGTCTGATAAAGGACTAAAAGCCACGAGATTAACCGTAAAAAGCTTTGTTTTATCATAAATGCCATCTTGCTGTCATGTTCAGTCGATCTAAGCAATTTGTCATCAGAATGAAAAAAAATATATATATATATATATATATAAAATTTAGGGACTAAAAATCCACATTGGATTAGACTAGTTTTAGAAAGTCTGTTTCTCTGAACCTCAAATGCCTGAAGGGTTTTGATGGTTAAATCATGAAAAGTCTACAGGGTTTTGAGTGCAACATCCATGTTGTTACAATACTTAAAATAACTAAAGAGAAGTAGACATTTAGTAAAAAGTCAATTTTGAAATCCGATTAAAAAGCTAACAGAGATGACTACCACTGTGGATTAAAGGATATTAACCCCCTCCTAGGAGATGCAGGGAAATCACTAGGTATCAGGAGATTGTTCAGTTGCGTACTTCACATACTCATAATGTGCACAGACAGCATTTATCCAGAAAAAACGTTCTAATGGTTGACTGTTTTGAGTCATTTTATCACATGAACGTAGTTATACTCTTATTATATTTTACTTATCTTCTGTTTATGCTTCTCTCCTCAATGTCCTTTGGTATATCAGGCCACAAACTCCGGGCCAATCACAAGACACTGACACTTATGAGGAGTCAAACAAGAAGGTAAATTGAAAACATTTGACAGCTTAGTCATAGGGATAAATGACAGTAAACACAGCAAGGCGTTTCATGGACTTAGCTCGACATGCTCCGCTGACATCTTTACACCAACACTGTGCGAGCTCAGAGTTTTGCTCAAGGACACACATTGAAACACAATGAATAATTCATTTCCTGAACCTGTGACCTTTCACTGGGTACAAGGTCATGCTAGCTGCTAACCCTGCCTGCTGCTTTGGCTCTGTAAAGATGGGATGCTTTTGCTCACACATGCAAAGAAAAGCACAAATGTAGTGCAGATCTGCAGCTGCACTCATGTTTAAACATCAACACGACAATCTAAATACAACCCCCCCGGACCAGCCAACACTTTACTCCATTTTATTTCAGCTCAGATAGACCTAACCAAGCCCATAGCCAGCCATGCTCCATGGTTACACCCCTACCCCAAACCTTCATCAATTTGGCCTCCTGACACAAATTCAATCTATTATGCATCACATCCTCCCTCGTTCCCTTGTTCTGTCTCCCACTCCCTCTTGTCTGCCAACCTCTTGCTCCCTGAGGAGTAAAACTATTCTCAGCCCATATTACTCACAATGACTAATAGATATTTTAGGACATCCTGAACATATGTGCAGGCATTTTTAACAGATTAGTGCACCATCTGTAGTACAGCAGGGGGATTTCACCAGTGAAGGGCTTCAATGATCTGATATTATATGTAGCAGATTTTTTACTTGATTCCGTTGATTATATACTGGATCATTCAAGTTAACCATAACAATTAAATACAATGTTGACATCTTTATTGGAGGCTCAACACGTTTTAAAAAGTCAGAAAAGACTATTTAAAATATCAAAGAAAAATAAGTAGCACGTAGCCCTATTCCTGTTGCTCTGAGTTAAAGACAGTCAGGTGAGCACACCAAACAAACCTGGTTTAACACAAATCAGCCTTTGTCTCCAGCACTGTCAGCCTAACAGACACTGATTTTTCAACTTAATAGAAATAAACAAGGCAAAGACATGACGGGGTCGCCTCTGTGTTCACGTTTGTGAGAATTTCTCCCCACCACAAAAACACAACAACTGGACAGACAGATTGCATTTCCATACTGATCAATAAAGCCTATTGACAAGGTAGTGAATTTTCCCTGTTTGTTTTTATTGGCCAATGTGCGCAAAGACCTCGGTCTGAAAGCTCATTGGAAATCAGTTGCTAGGCTACGGCTCAATATTAGACTAGCAGGATTGACTGCTGGCCCGCCTCCATCTCAGAGGGAAAATAAAATGTTACAGTGGCATTTTGTAGTGGAAAACACACATTCGCACAAAGAGAAAGATACACACACACGTGCAAAGAGAGCATTGGGGCAGATGGCAGATGGCTTTGGTCAGCTTGGACACCATCACTGAATTTTTTACCTCAAAATGATTTTATTCTTATTCGGGGGAAAAAAAAAAAAAAAAAAAATAGTTCATCAAACACCTTATGCAATCTTTTCTATAATAATGGAGGCTCTGTGTGTGTGTGTGTGTGTAACCCTGGTGACTCACAATTACTTAATCAGCTGGCTCACTCCCTGCTCAGGTAAAGGGAGTGGCTCATCGACTGTGGATAAACAAGAAAACATAGGAACAGTGTGTGTGCGTCATGTGCCTGCCATTGCAGTTGTGTAGTTGTGGTTAGACTGTTTGCAAAGTGTGTGGCAGGTGGCTACCCTCTGTCATATGACTGTGGAACAAAAGCAGCCCACACAAGTGTGTCAACACTGAAAAGAAAGTTTATTTGAAGACAACTGGATCACAAGCAGCTGACACAGAAACTAAAACCAGCTGAAAGTGATGGGATGTGCTGTGTTCTAAATGTCAAATAGCCAAAAAACAAAACAAGAACTGACACAAAGAGAAGAGAAAGAGACACCAGAGCCGCTCTCTTCTTCAGGCTTTGCGTCTGATCCAACATGAGAGACATGCACGAGGGATTGTACGGAGCAGACTTAAGGGAGACCATGCAGAGAGGGCACTTTGATGTGATAAACACAATGTACTTGATTCATGTTCAGAAGGGTCAAAAGGCTGGGATGTACCCTCCTTCTGTCACACAGAAAGTCAATTATGAATCCGGCTCTGCCCTCAAACCATCAGATACAGACAGCTGAGCTAAAAAGGAAGCCCAAATGGAGCCTTTGAGCTTTGAAGACTGTACAACGAATACGTTAGCTTGATTCAAAATTGTACACAAGACTTCCATGCTATTATCTGATAGTCCCACAGTTTCTTTAGCAAGTAATTAATCCTGAATGAATGGGAACAAACCCTTAAATCATCTGTCATTATTTAATTCTCTTTGTGAAAGAAACTTGCAGCACAGGATGTATAGGAAACTAAAGTGCCTGTTGAATTGATATGATGCCAACAGATCGAAGGCCAGAATATAAACCAAGAATAAAGGATGACGCATGGCAAAATAAGTTGCATATATTGAGAATCCTGACATCCTATTTAGGACATAATATTACTGTCTTTTTATCAATGCCGTTGCTGCGAGTCCAATTCCTTTCAAGTGATTTTTTTGTTTGTTTTAACCAAAAAGGATTCATTTCTTCAACTGTACGCTAAAGGGATACTTCACCTGTTGAAACATGAATCTGTATTGACATTGGGTCATATATGTAGTAGAAATGTGAAATACATTTTAAAGTTGGTGCTTCTTGGCCAAGAAAAGGCAGAAAGTGTCTTTTTGGCTCATGTGGATGAAAGACACCTAATCCCAGAATGCACAGCACCGCAGGCCACTCTCACTAAGGTCCGAATCAGAAAAACTTAAAAAGTAGTTTCACCCGGCTAACCGGAACAGCTTCCAGTGACGCAGAAAATTGTCATTTTGTGTCACTGGAAGCTCCTTTTCAGACTCAGAAATACAAAGATTTCCCATCTCAGGGGAAAATGAGGGAGAGATGCACAACCATTCAAAAATACTACCAGGTTTCTAATGATACAAAGCTTAATGCAAATGGGTGAAGTATCCCTTTAAGCCTTACCCATCCTTACTCTCTGCGTGTCGAATGATATCTGTGATTGTCTTAACACAAATGAAGAAACATTCCTAAAGAAAGAGACAATATACAGTATATTTTCTTCATATTTACCAAAAACTATTTCTACATTTAATGTCCAGATAGATTTTTTTCACATGGATCAGTTAGCAAAATAAAAAGTGTTAAGTCATGTCCTGCATCACTTCCCCTTGGCCTACCTTATGTTACATTCACACACTTTTCTCAGTCACAAAGTAAAACTCTACAAACCATAAATTGCCTCATTATGTCTCTGCAGCTTTTACTGAAAGGTAACCTATCATGTTTAAATGTGAGGATAATAACTAGAGACATACAATGCAAAAACTGTGTGAATGCTTAATGAGCGATGCAGGGAGAGAGCAACAGTCATCGAACCCTTTTCAATGCACCGATTTTTGACATGAACTGTAAGGGACTGTAAACCATGAGACCACAAAGCACGGGACATACAGAATGGACACAAGACTTCGTAAAATTATCGAATTATGCCACTGTCCCTGAAAGCCTCTCATCTGATCTCACAGGGGTTTCATGGCGGGTTAACCTATAAAGCCATGTGATACAGAGTCCTTGTTATTGCAGGAAGGGTTAAAATCTGCATTAACAAACAGCTGATTAACAACATGGACAGAAACAGTTAGTCAGCTAAAACTATAACAACCCCGGAGGCATCAGTAACACTAGCAGGCGGATAGCCAATCTCGATGAGTAGTAAAATTTTATTTGGCCTTAGGTAAATGAGGCAGTGACAATGTGGACTCAGACTCGAATGTCTGAGGATAAAACAAGCTTATTCAATTTATCGGACAATATTTTGCTAGTCGGAGGGGGTTATTTGCACAAAGTATTCATTGTGGATAAAAATAGGTACAGAAGGAGGGACTCCTTCTACTTATTTGCAATTTAGTGAAGTTACAGTGAGAGTTACTTTGCTCATAAACAAATAGAAACTAGGTGTGTTGTTGAACTGCAATACAAATGACACCATTGAAATGATGATTCAATGTGATGCTCGTGGACAGTGAGGAAAGTGCTGGAGCCACAGTGTTCAAGAAATAGAACAGGAAGTTAAGCCATCAGGTCATGTAATTTTTTAAGACTTTTATTACTAAGCTGCCGTCTTACATAATGAGCAGTAGGGTTTCTTTCAGTTTGTGTGAAGAAATGCTGTTATACGCCGCCTGCCCCAGACACATTTCACCAAGCGTAACTTGATATGATTTGGAGCGCGTGTTCTGCTTCGATCAGATTAAAGGAACTTTCAAAGCTAATTTTCTGCGTCAGCCACGACTGTGTGTGGGAGCAGGAGATTCCTTTGTGTACCGACAAATATGAGCAAGTAGGATAGAAACAAAAAAATGAACATGAAAACAAAAACACACACCAGCTGACAGTCCCTGTGTCTTTCAAGTAGTGTGTCACTGTGTTTAGAAAGACAAAATAAAGTTTGTGTTTTTGTTCATAAGGCATTTCTTGTGCTTATTTTCCTTTCTGTCACATTCAACACTGCAAAAGAAACATTGGTGAATCAGTTTCTATTCATACCGATAAAGTGTGCTGAATTGAAAACACAAGTGGCAGAAAGGTTTAAACTTGTCTGACCACCAGAAAAGCAGGTTCTTATTCACAGCAGCCTATTTCCTTTATGCTTAACCTTTATGATCAGGAGTTTCCCGTTTAACTAGCCAGCTTCCTTCTTTAAGGGTTCTTATATTGACTCATGACAGCTCAGGATGTTCTTGCAGATGTGTGAAATGTAAAGTGAGTACTTTGGAGAGATCAACAGGAAAAGTCAGTAGCTAGGAAATAGAAACATTTAATGCCAGTGGCTCTAACAGCATCATCCATCAGCACTTTTAAATCTCTGCAGTGCCAACAGCTTCATTTACCGCAGAAAGAAGTACATCCACCCACATCAGCATTGATATAGGAGGGGTTCTCCGCACCAGAAGCCTACTTTTTAGTCTTGCTGTGTCTCTATTCAACTGTCTCAGTTTTCCTGAGCCAGAGTCCTCTGTCTCTCCTCTTCGAGTCATTTGTTTGTCTTCCAGCAGGAAGTATCCAAAAACAACCAGGCCTACTGGATTGACTTTTATTTCCTCCCCATTCGGTCATCAACAAAAAATGCACAAATATGATGGACACATTATTTCACTCACACACAAACACTGGCCTCCTGCACATCCTGTTTGTCTGTTAGAGAGCGTGAGTGGTTAAGTACTCTTTGGTTCACACAGACAAAGAAGATTTGCCTAGTACTGCAAATCATTATGCAGTCTGTTTACCCTATACTTGACAAAATGGATTAATTGTCTAAAGAATATTTGTGAAAATTGTTCATAACACAACTTAGCAAAACCTAAAATGACATCTTAATATCCTTGTGATTGAAGGTTAAGATTGACTTGTTTTTCACTTTGTATTCATGTGTTGCTTATTCTTGAGTATTCAGGGTCCATTTGAAAGATTAATTGTGCAATTACTCAGACACGGACATTACGCATTCGCAAAATGTATTATCTACATGGGGGGGTAAGAGAAGTGAAGTGTTGACAGATGTTTTATGGTAGGTAAGTATGCACTTATAGAAGCGCAACAATGATTTAAGAATGGCGGAAAGTTTTGAAGACGAACAAACTAACCAATCAGGAATAATCAGCTTCTGTGCAATTTTACATCGATGCTGTGTATTGGGGGAAAAAAAGCTCTTTGGCACCATTCTTACTTCACCTGCCGTGAACTCAGACGGTAGAAAAGTGTCCCCATGTCAATTGTTTTCATTTTGAGGTTCAAAATAGTCTGTGCTCTCAACACTTGTCGTCTCCAATGAAATGCCATGTAAATATGAGGCAAACATGTTTTCTACAAGACAGCATGATTAACAAAGTACATCTCTGGCCCTAAACTGTTTCAATCTATACATGTTTATGTTGTGTATCTGATGGAAACAGTACAGTGTACAGATGTCACCTCGCTCTTCTATTTCTATAAGAGATTATAGCAAGGGTGTGAAAAAAAAGACGAAAGACGGCAGTGATGAGAGGGATAAAATGGAAGGTAGAAAGTAAGGGACATGGACTTCAGCAAATGGTCTAATTTGGGGGAGGGGACTCATTTAATTCATGTAACAGATGTAAATCTGCTTATAAAAAATAAAACGTGTTATAAAGGACTTTGGTAATTTCAACAGTAAATCCCTGTGGACCATCTGCAGCATAAACATGAGACGGGGGTTCCTTACTTGTTCTATTAACATCACAAAGCTGTGACAAATATTTCTGCAGATTAGCAACTAGAAGCACTAAATAATTAAGTTTGACTCTTAAAACAGTTGAAGTTGAGCATTAGCCAATAAGTATCAGCCTTTTCCACAGCCTGTAGAGCAAAAAGATGCTGCAGCACACCCACTCACACCTACATACAGTATGTTGGCTGACCAGCAGAAAAATACACCTCTTATTATTGCTTACAAGAACATACACATAACATTCCCACCCCAATCTTCCTCATCCCCACCCATGATGTTATCAGACCCAATCTTATCAAGACTACACCCACCCAGCTCCTTCTGGACACATTTTACATCTTCACTTCTAACTTCAAACTCACACACTTGCTATTTGTTGGTACCAATCAACATCAGTCCAGTTTCCTCAGATTCAAATTTATATCAGCTCTTATTCCAGAAGTCTCCGTTTACAAACCTCCTGTGAGCTGTAAACATTGAGTTCACCGAGAAAGGTTGCCTTTGTTGTAATTCACAACGTCATCTCTCCCTACGATTGCATAGCTGTCAAAAAGAACGATATAAATCTAGAGTTGCTATTAATGTTACCTTTTCCTCTTTGTTAACACAGCTAGTAGCTTTGTTTGTGTCTTGCAACACAGGAAAAATTGCAAGAATCAGTAAGGCTGAAACGGTTCTACAATCTGTGTTATGTCACAAACTCCTTACGATCTGGGTTGTGAGAGCATTTTCTGCATTCCAAGTTAACCATGCAATAAACACTTCAAGTGTTTATCCACTTTGATCCCCCTCTTAAAAGTTGAGGGGCTTAACTCGTCATTCGCCCAGTGTTTGTCAAGCCTTATCTACGTTGCAGTTTTGGCTTAAATGTACAGCTGGTATTCATGCCGTCAGTATTTAGAATGTCCTAGTAAACCTAGAAAAGGAAAACTCTAAAGTTTAGGGTCTGTCTGCATCACCAGTGTGTTCATCACTTAAAACCTATTACTGAATCAATTCTCTGCAGGCTGCTCCAACAACAGAGTACAGGTTTCTCTCTCATTCATCATCATTCCTACTTACCGTGAGCGTAGCGCCTGCCAGGCAGCGTCCACATCAGCGTACAGATTCTTCTCTGAGGGTTTCCCAGAACTGGCCCCGTAACCCGAGTAGTCATAGGAGAAGACATTGCAGTTTATCCTTGAACCCAGACCGATGTAGAAGCTGCTCATCTGACCCAAGTCCACTGCGTTTCCATGGGAGAATAATAGAGTGTAGCGGGCGCTGGGCGAGCAGCGGACAAACATGCAGGCAATGCGGTTCCCTCTTGAGGTGCGTGTCATGAAGCACTCGATGGCGTCCTTTTCACGCGACGAGTATTGCCAGTCTGCCCGTTCTGAGAGGTGCAGAGTCCACCGGCTGCCACTATCGTCACTCATGAGGCTGTATGTGGGCTCCGGGGGCAGGAAGGCCAGCTTGGAGGCAATCTTGCTGGGGCACGGTGGACAGCAGAACAGGCAACATAGCTCGCTTAAGGATAAGTGATTCATCCTAAAAACCCTGTAACAGGGAAAATGAAGATGGTTAACTTAAAATAATACATTCCATCAAAATAAAATTCCAAGAACTGCATTTTAAAACCTAAGAATAAGAGAGAGAACAGATATTAGAACCTCTGCAAACAAGAGCCCACATTGAGGGCTCACACTGATCACATGAAAAACACACTAAAAGCAAATTCACGCTTAAGAACTCTTGAATGACGTTCTTACCATGAATGTGAGCACTTGTCTCTTTTTTAAGTGGAATGCATTGCAACCAGGGGCTAAAGCCAGGCCGCTGTCCTTTTCTTAAAACACCACCAATTCCCCTCTCACGAGTACATGATTTGCTTCAGCCAGTATTATAAAAAAAAAAAAAAAAAGGACACAGCCCTGACCCTGTTTGGCTCCACATCCTCTCAGGTAGTATTGACTTAAAAGGCTTTCTTGTTTCTCTCTGCACCTGGATCTCCACCTAAGGCAACCTTTTCCCAGGCTTTTGAATTGCAGTGGCCTGCACCAAAGATGCGGGGGGATTTGTAACTTGGCTCCAGATAACGACACATGTCCTTTTTTTATTTATTAAATGAAGTAGATATATGTCAGCTCTGACAAGGTTTTTGGTTTGTATTTCTAATTAATTTGTGCAATTGAATCCTGAAGCAAACAAGCAATGTAGCCAGTAAGTTACAACTAACACATGACTACATATTGCTGCCTTGTTCATGCACTTCCCTATGTGAGATATATATTCATTTATTAATGTATAGTTTTAACATAAATCATCAACGGCTGACTCGAGTTTTGGAGTTATAGTCTGGGTCTCACATGCAAAAGAGCTTTGTAATCTCAATGTGACTTCCAGGTTAAACAAAGGTTATATCTAATCGTAGTTCTCTAACAGTCTGTGACAGCTTTTTTCTCCCCTCCAGGATACACCTGCATGTTGCTCATACAGTTCATTGCAGCCTCTGCAAGCTATGTGGGTCTAAGAGCAGAAAAAAGCATCCAACCAGAACAATGCTGGGTTTTTTTTTTTTTTCTTTTTGAAACAGTGCCATTGTCCCTGTAAAAATATGCAATCATGCAGATCTCCTATTTGACCCATAAAGCTTTGAGAATGAAGCTACAGATATGCAGTAAAACCTGGGAGCCCTTAGCAGATATACAGATGTTTTCATTCTTTTACAAGTGTACACATATTGACAAATGAGTCACAAAAATCCCTACTTAGGAATTTCCTTTTTTTCTTCATTATTCTTACTAGTGTTTATCAGCAGTATTGTATTGTTTGCATGATCGCTGACCTTATTGAATTTATACAAGAAAATTGTCTAACAAGCTGCTGAAGCTGGCATAAACACATTAAAGCAGGACATCACTTGTGGCATCTTGGTAACACACAGGTGACTTCAATTCTACTTAATTACCTGTGTGCAGCACACATCAACAAATACCTGGAGAAGAGATGATTTCAGGCGAATAATCCATCAATCAATCAATCAATGCTACTTCTGCAAGATTCTCTGACATCTTGATAAGAAGGAGTATCTACAACATACAAAGTGGTGACTATTTGCTTCCCATATTCCCCAAAATAGTCCATAATCTCCAGCCATGGAGACAGAATGGAGCCTCGCAGCGATTTACTGTAAAATGGTGGTGGAGGCAGCAGATTAAAGCGACTCCTGGCTGGCTTGTGGATATTTAATATCCACTGATTGGACACAATTTACTCCAAATTGTGATGCGTTAATTAGCTGGCAACACTGTATATCCATGTGTTGGTCGGTTCCTTACTAAGACGTAGCAGAAATATCATCGCAACATTACCTGGACGTTGGTTTGTTTTGTTTTTCTGTCTATTTTGAGGCGATAGTATTGGCCAACCTCGCCGGGTTTTCTTCGACAAGCTAACTAATATATCTTCTTCTGAACGCCGGGAGATTGACAAGGTTATCCTTGTCCAGATTATCCTCTGTTTGGCGTCTTGTCACCTAAAGAGTGTCTATCCCTTTGGCACCACAGTTGTGAGTTGTCGTCCTCCCGGGTCCTGTCCAGACAGCCACCGAAACTGTTGTGTCTTTTTCCTGCACTGGGATTTACCAACATATGGTCCTGAATAATAACGAGGTCGATTAATTCAACACATTCAAGTGCAAACAGCTCTTCAGCGTCATGGGTGAATTCTACAAATGTCTAAAATAAAGTTACTCCGGGTCACTGCTCCGTAGTGGTTCGTCAGACAGTTTACAGCAGTGTCACTTGCCTCCGAAACATCACCACTGTCGTTAAATCACCCTGCTTGTTTCCTCAGTTCGTAAGGAAGCTAAAAAGAAAAAAAATGTGATTGACAGCTTCATTGACCAATAGGAAAGTTGTTGATAAAAATGAGCCAACCAATCGTAAGGAAAGAGGGAATATTTGGGCCGGGATCTGATGTTTTGATTGACGTGTAGAACAACTAATCGGTGGTTACTATGAACGACGAACTGTCCAATCAGCAGTGATTGCGGTACTTCTAAGGTTAAATTGGGTTACGTCATTGTCAGAAAATGTATTTTATTACGGGGTTTTTGTGCCATTTTTTAAAAAGTCTTCAATATGTTAAATCCATACACATATTCTAAAAAAAAAAAGAATTCATAATTAATTTGATCAGAACTTGGAAAAATTGAAGGGTATTATTTTGACCTCATTTACGTCACATCGAATGCTCGTTCTTCTTCCGGGTTACAGCTCTCCCCCTGGCGTGGTTTTTGGATTTGACAACGCACATAAGCGTGTGTACATAAAATTGGTTTGATAAAATGAGTTCTCAGAAAGGTAATGTCTCCCGATCGCGCGGCCAGAAGCATCAAAACGCATCTGCTTTCAAAAACGACAAGTACGGAGCCAATATACAAGTGAAGGTTTGTGAACTTTGAAGTGTTAACGTGTTGAATTAGCGAGCCTGTTTTGGATCTCAACTCAACTTTTCATTATGTTGTGTTGATGATATTAACTTTCCTCCATGTATCTGTTTGTGTGATCTTTTATTAAACTGTAGAAGGCAAACTCAAAGATCCACGATGGGCTCTGTCATCACTGTAAAGGTGTTCTTGAGTGGAAAGTGAAGTACAACAAGTACAAGTCACTGACACAGCCTCGGAAATGGTGAGCTCCTCCTGCAAGCATTGTATCCACTTGAAGCAGTACACTGTCTGCACGACTGCACACATCTAACCTGCTCTTGTCTGCTTATTAATAAGGAGGAAATCAACACAGCGTTATGCTTACTAGTTAATGTTTTTAAAGCAGCAAAAGACATGTAAATTACAGTATTGCTTCTTTTTCCCTGTTATTGCATCTAAAGTTATGAGGAAATTAATAAATGCATTTTTTAATACACAGTTCAATTGTTTTGGCCTCTGCAGGCTACATTAAGGGAGTAAGGGATCTCAAATGCTCCCAGAATCAAAGGCACAAAGACTATTTAAACAAAGTGCACATGATAATCTATGATGCAAAACAAACAGCATTGGAGATTTGTTTTTTTTCTTTTGCTGGACTCATTGTCCATCTTTATCAGTTTATATCTGGAATACAACAGTCCAACTCATATAGGCTTTTCTTCTCATTTACATGTGCAGTAAAGTCTTGGGTGTGTATTATTATGTGATTTGATGGTGTTGGAACAAAAGACAAAGCGATGCACTTCAACTCATTTATTGGAGCTATTGCGTGTTTTCTTCTTTCAGCGTCAAGTGTTCCCAAAAGACTGTGAAGGATGCGTATCACGTCATTTGTAAGCCCTGCTCCCTTCAGCTGGAGATCTGCTGCAAGTGTGGAAAGAAAGAGGGTATCGTTATCCCGTGAGTAGTCTTTCATTAATAAGGTGTGTCAGTAGTATATGAGTGTGTTTGCTCGTCTGGGCAGAAATACAGCGAGCAGGCCAGGAATCCCTGAGTTATCTTGGATTCCGACCTTAGCTTTGACAGTCATATCATCAATATTACCAGAAGAGCATTTTACCATTTAAAGAACATATCTAAAGTCTGATCATTTATATCCTAAACTGGCTCAGAGAAATTAGTCCATGCATTAAAAGCGCGTGTATGTATGTACATGTATATGTGAATATATGATAGCATTTGTGGTTATTGATGTTTGCTTTGTGGTGTGTATGACCTTATCGATTTGATTTCTGTATCTTATTCATTCGGGGTGGGAATCAGCAGAGGCCCCACGATACGATATTATCACAATACTTGAGTCATGATTCTTCATTATTGAGATTTTAAACATTTTACGATATGCTGAGAACTGTATTAAAATAATAATAATAAACTAAATCAAGAACTGTTTTGTCAAATAAGAAAAAAAAAAACATTATTTTTATTTTTACACAATGGATGTAAAGACCTCAGACTGGCCAACACTGTGATAAAAGTAAAACTCTGTAAGAGCAAGTAGCAGAGAGACCTCCCATGATTCCCCGCTAGCCTCGACGTCATGTTTAGTAATTGTTTTGATTGAGAGCCCCCTGGCGGCGGATTTTACATGCTGTGCATTTAACTGAACACGGACATGTATGGACGACTGGACAATTTCATTAATTTTTAATAATGCAACTTGTTCAATTGTGCAATCCCTTCAGCAAAAAAATTAAGAAAGCAATATGCTAAAAATGTTGATACTTGGGGGGCCATGAGACGATATAATATCGCCACGCAAAATATCACAATTCTATGCTCTATCGAATATCCCATAAAGTTGTGTTCTTCATGAAGCACATGCAGGCCATTTAAGTGCAAGTCTGCCATCTTGTGGACAATAAGAGTCATTACAACTCATTCTTTGACATCAACTCATTTTTGCCTCATTTTTCAAATCTACATTTAATGCTCTTCGCATATATTGAACATTATGAGATGTATTTCTTCACATTGATCATATAATCCATTCCTTTGGTGACATCATGATATTCAAAACAAGTCTCAAAGGTTTTTCTTATGCTTAAAGAAGTAAACATCACACTGTAGCAGCTGATATATTCTTTTCTCTTACTGTGTAGAATAAACTCACAAGAGGAGGGGAATGAAGATGAAGAAGAAGAAGATGGAGAACAGACAAAGAAAGGACGTGGACGAGGAAAGAAGAACATGGATGACTTGGACACTGATGATGACTTTGATGATGATGATGATGATTTAAGTGACTTTGGAGACAAGGATGAACGAGAGGATTCGGATAGCAACCCCGAGGCAAAGAAGACGCAGAAAAAGTCTGATGTGATCCCAGATGTATCTCGAGTCAAGATTAAAGACTAAAGACATTGAGCAGGTTTTCATTGTACTTTATTGTATTTTATTCAACATTCACTTTTTGATTTAAAACATTACGAGGTATGGGATGTGTTTGAACTTGGTGCTTGCTTCACATACAAACATGAAGCAGCAACAACAGTCATTCTTTTTTCAGATTACATTTTTTTTAAACTGAAGTGTAAGAATTGTAGTTTTGATCATATAGAAGGAGCCGTTTCATCTCGTCTGAATGTGGTCATGGAGAAGTTCAGATAATGACTAAAACGAGACTGTGCGAGTTGAGAAAGTTTAAGTGCCCAACCTTTCTTGATCTGTGACGTGGATCTGCGCCGTCAGTCCAATATCCGTCATTTAAATTATGTCAATATCAGACATGATAGAGATATTAGATCTGATCTGTTATAACAATAATACTTTAGTTATGTAAACTCATTTATCTTGTTGGATAAGTACATAAGAAATTTAACCAATTCTAAAACTATAAAGAAATAAAACTACAAGTGAATTCAGAATATACTTCTTTTTTTTTGCAGAGTTTTGTCTTTATTAGATGGGTCAGGAAGTGTTGGGAGTAGAGCATTGGGGATGATATGCAGGGCCGAGGTCAAATTCAAACCCACAGCCGCTGCGATGAGCACTATAGCCTCTTTTTTATGGGGCATGCTTCATAACAGCTAGGCTATTCGGTGCCTCGGGAATATTTCAATTGGATGCTGTTAGTTTGTAATTTCAAAATCACAAGTATTCTTCATTAACAAGGGCTGTATCATTTACTGTACATTCAAAAACCCTTTACAAACAATGCACATTTTAAAATTATTTTTCCCAATACATGCCTTACAGTGTCATTGATGTTTTCTGGACACTAAGTTGTCAGCTGATCAAGAACACCGAGTTAAAATAAAACATCACACAAAAAGTAAGGACATTTGTGTTTGGTTGATTTATTTATTTTTTTGTTGCAATGCTTCTTGGCAATACATGTTATACCGTTGGAAAGCCTGTTTTTTTCCCCTTTTAAATGGTGCCAAATTTGTGAGGAACATGCATTTGTGTGATAAGCAGCAAAGCAGTTTACTTAAGAATAAGAATCTAAACATAGAGCCTACGTCACCATATTTAATTTAGGATATACATTTGTATCAGATTCACGTTGATGTAAGTCACGTCATATATTAGTTATACATTTTTATCAGATTCACATTGATCATCATCATCAGTTAATTCCAGCCTGTATGTGAACAACCAAATTATAACAGTTGAAATTCTTAATAAGACACATTACTAAAGTTTTCTATTGTCTATACTGTTGTATTAAACAGGTACTCTGTTTGCCTGGATGCAGATTAGATATGTTTTAGAAGGTTTATGATCCCTTCTATTTAAAAGCCATCTGAAAGAGAGGGGCTTTTCCAATCGTCCATCAGTCCCTTTGTTCTATAAAGTAAACAAGATGCTAATTATCAGTCCGTGGGTCCTGCAGGAAAGTTTATAAAAGAAGTGGGTCTGCAAATATCAAACAAAATAATTACAAAATAATTTACCAAACACAAATTTCCTTACTTTTTGTGATGTGTTTAGTTGATCTCAAAGAGCCCTGCAATTAAAGCTTAGCTGCATGAAGTTAGTGATGTTGTTTTGTGTATGGACTGTTCAGCAGAAGTGTTGATTAAGCCTTACTGACTGGGGATGGTCCTGATACAAGACACAATTATCAGTAAACAAACAATAGAAAGTATTTTGTCTTTCTTTTGCAGCTAAAAATATCAGAGATTTTACTCGAACGGTTTTAGGATGTTGAAATATTGCACGTAATACTCCAAATATTCAAATATGTTCAAGTAGATATTTAAAAATGTAAATATTCATGAAAAGATTCCACCTTTTAAACTGAAAGCTCATACTGATTACAGCTTTTGACTCAGTTTTGTTCCAATTTCCCTGAAAATGGAAACTCTTATCAGACATGTATCCCATTATAACCTACAAATTAGTTCTTTCTACTTCTTCAGAGATTTTTATATTCGGAGCATGTTCTTCTTTTTCCTGATGTTTGCAGCAGCTCTTCACACTTCCTGTAACTGAATAACCTGCAGTTACATTGAAAGAGAGTGTTGTCATTCATCATGTGGGGTTGACCATTTTAAAACTACTTCGAACCTCACTTCCTTGCTTCCTCATTTAGTATATGTGACATCTAACATGGATTAGTCACTGAGCTCATGGGATGACCATCTATTCGGGGTCTGACGTTTCTCTCACATGTGCTTTGTTCTGCTTAAACACTTGTGACATAAGATTAGCGAAATTGAAACATTTTGTTTTCCTTCCAAAGGGAAGTGTATGTCTGTGCATCCCTTTGTATGTTTTTATAAAAGGTATTTTTTTAAAGGTTTGTACATATTGAACATGAAGACCTGTTTGCTGTCACTTGAAAGATGTCCCCCTTTGTGGTCTATCTTAAGTGTGAAACTATTTATTTGCATCTTACGTCTCAAAATGTATTTAGAAGATTTCCTAGAACCCATGTTGAGGTCAGCATTGTGTTGAGTTGAGTTTATAGCAATTAACCAAATTTACTTCAAAAAGTAAGCCCACTCCATTTCAAGTGCAATCAGACCTAAGCTACTGTAAACTTGTGCCTTGATAATAATGTGACTGCATACCTTGAGGAGGATGTTATTTAATAGTTAAACCCTTGCCGTTAATACTCTTCATATACTAAGTAAGTAAGTACTGTATAGTGTGTATGCATATATATATGCAGAGGTTTTCCTTTCTTTTTTTCTTTTTTTTATTCTTCTTATTATATATATTTTTTTTTCTCTTCAGATTTTTTCTGATTGTGTAATACTGGCTGGTTGGTGGGTGGCTTGGGGGAGCATTAAGTGTGAGTGAATGTGAGTGTGTGTGTGTGTGTTTGTGGTGTGGGTGTCTCTGTGTTAAAATGTTTGGTTTTATGTTTTGGATTTACCTTTTATTTTGATTTTGTATTATGATGATTAATTTATGTTTCGTAAGGACACCCTTGAAAATGAGATGATGCATCTCAAGGGGCTATCCTTGAAATAAATTACAAAATTACAAATATAGGCTATTCAGGATGTGGGTAAGCAAGAGCACGGGGAAAACGTCTCCTTTTTCAATATCCATTTCGTGGCATAGCACAAAATACACTGACTGAACAACGACTTCTCTGATACATCACTTAAATTGCCTCCAAGCAATATCTATGGAACCATATTTATTTCAAATCTCGAGAGAGCAATCAATACCCAAGAGCAAATAGTAATGCAGTTATTAATTGCCACGCACACAAAACTATGTGTTCACATATATTCAACAACCTCGCAGCTGCTAGGGTGAAAAATAAAAAATGAATAGGTGAGGGCAAAGAAATGTCACTGTCTGCTTTGTGAGCGCAGGACTACAGCTTCTCTCACCCTGGAGTCAGAGGAGGGGTTGACTACCAAGTGTCTATTTTTACCAATATTCACCCTAAATATTTAAGTAACCGTTAAATCAAATAATGTGAATGATCACAACCTGAGAAAAAACAAGTTATACGAAATAATACAATATCACAAAAAAAGATCTCTATCTTTCAGTATTGATAGATGGATAGAAAGAGAGCATGTTGACATTCTCTCGCGTTCCAGTATGATTATAATCATCGTAAAATTTCCTTTTTCTCATCTGTTTAAACGAAAACTATGGGAACGAAACAGAAAGAAACTATACAACACACACACACACACACACACACACACACACACACACACACACACACACACACACACACACACACGCACTCACGCACGCACGCACGCAGGCGCACACGCACACACACACACACGCGCGCGCACACACACACACACACACACACACACACACACACACACGCACACACCCTTTCCTCTCATTGGCTGCAGGTCGTCTTTGCAGTCAGGTGGAGCCGTGCGTACTGCAGGATCTCGGTGACCAGGGTTCTCAGAGGATAAAAACCCCGGTGCGCTGTGTCTGCTGCAGGTATCTCACTACTCGACTGTAAACGGTCAATTGAAAGGATGGCAAACAGTAGCAGAACCCACACCGACGTTTCGCACGTTTACAGGGGGACATTTGTCCACTCGACCCCGCAAACAGCGCTGCAGGTCCTGGAAGATGCGCTCCTCGGAGTGGATACTGATGGAAAGGTTCGTAACATGCTAAAACAGATTTTTTCGGATTACAAATGATTAAAATAGATACTTTTACTCTTACTTTTTATGGCTTTAAAAACGTGTGTTTTGAGTATTGAATTAAAGGCATATAGCCTACTCAAATAGATACGCACTCACTCCAGCTGCTCCTACTAAACTTTGCGCAAACGGTTTTAAAGAAGATTATAAAAAAAAGATGATTGAAAGATAAAACACTTGTTACATAATAGCCTACCAGCTTTCAGGCACAAAATCTCGACAGTCTGAGGAAGCCTCTTCAAATACCAGTCGGGTTAATATTCTTAAATCATGCTTCAACCGTCTGGAGACTATAGTCTTCCTTTACCAGTTTACTTTTGCTATTGGTAAAAAAAAACATTATATGTGTTGGCATTATGGGAATAAACCAGGCTGGCTATGAAAGACCTTGATCTGTGAATGGAAGCAAAAACTGCATTAGCACAAAGACACAAAATGTTTAAAGAATCTCAAAAAGAATATTTTCTTGTTACGATTAAAAAGAGAAAAATAACTCCAAGTGTCCCCCCCTGACCACATTAACCATCTTAAATGTGATTTGTTTCTGCACTATCCAATAGCACTTTGATGATTCCCATTTCTGCTTTCAGATTGCTTTCATCGGTAAAGGCTCAGAAGTAGACACACTGTCTCAGACGTTTGGTTTCAGTGCGACTAACATCACCCAGCTGGCACCCCAGTAAGCAGATCACATCAATAAAATACCGAATACAAAGAATTGTCTAATAGCAGTAGTGTTCTGACCATTTCAATGTGTTCCTACGTTGCAGTGAGTTCTTCATGCCAGGACTTGTGGACACTCACATCCATGCATCACAGTACAGCTATGCTGGCACAGCCCTGGACATGCCCTTACTGCAGTGGCTCAATACCTACACATTCCCTGTGGAGTCACGCTTCAAGGACCTTGAGTTTGCCAACAAAGTCTACACCCAAGTTGTGGTGAGTTTTCTAGCATCATGAACTCATTTACCATCAAACTGTGAACATCATGGCACATCAGTCACATGTCGTTGTGAGTGAATGACATTTGAACTTGCACTATTGAAACATTTAGTGAGGCCCACTCTATTGTCACACTGCCTATAATTAAAGGATTTCAATTATTCATTCTAGCTAGACCACATATTTTTCAATGTTAATCCTGTAACATGAACCCATGTGCTTTACAGAGACGGACTCTGAGAAATGGAACAACCACTGCATGTTACCACGCTACCATACATACAGAAGCTTCTCTACTGTTAGGACAGATCGCAAGTAAGATGTCCTATACTCCAGGCACACACACAAAAACACACATTTCATGTTTTATTTTCTGTTTAGAAACACTGGCCCTTTTTTTTGAGTAAAAAGATGTCTCTCCTGTGGCAAGGCATTATGGCATTCAATTCTGGCAACGTAGCATGTAACTAGAAAAGCCTTTAAAGACCATAATACTGTCAAATATTTGTCCCAGAATCAAAATCACATGAGAGTAGTTGGAAGAGTCAAGTGGTTGTTTCGGAGGTTTTAAAATAACACATACATATCTATGCAAAGTTATAGTGAAATCAATGAAGGAAAATCTGTTAATGAACAAGCCAAATTATATTATGAGTGCAGGAAAAGAAGTCGGCTGTTACCAGCAGGGCAGTGACTCTACTGTATAATGATAATGGATCTATGCTTTGCTCCTTGAC